TTTATTTGTCATCATACAAATTATCATTTCATAGACAATATTAATTAGTAGCTCGGTGGCTCTACGGATATGCGCCGCTGCGCACGATCGCTATTGCAAAGCAATTTTCGAAAGAGTTGTTCACGGGATGGGTGACCAAAAATTATTAAACAAATGCCTGAGGCCCTGCAGTTTGGCTGTGAAAGAGTTAATGATGATGATCAATATATCAAAGACGAAAATTTAATAAATCAGTAAAGATTTCATAGCAATTTTGGCGACCACGTCACTTCAAATTGAGATTACTTTTGTATTTGTGAACCGATTGAAATAATTTTTACACTAAATGTTAACGGAAGAATGCCGCAATATAATAGTGAAAACTGTATTTAAATCGGTTCAGCCGTTTCTGAGATTAGATAACATTCATTCTTTTTTTCCGACTTATTGCAACAGGCACTTAAAGGTTAGCTTCGCGTGCATAATGAGCTTACAATATCTATCTAATTATTAATTAATTACAGACTTATATGTTCAAAATATATTAACACATACGTAATAAGCCATATAAATATATATTTTTATTTTATTTTTTTCTGTCATACATGAAATATGTTAATTATTATATGAGGCGAACAATACTAATTGTATCTACTATTATATTCTAGAAAATCTAGAACATTTTTGTGGAATGTGAAGTAAGTATTAAAATGTAAATCAAGAATTTAAACCCAGTACTGTTTTTCTCATAGAGGTGTGATACGACTACGCGGGATTCTTGATGGGGCTCGAAATCGGAAATAACTCAGTAATTTTGAATTGTCAATTTTACCTCTCATTAGTTTGTAAAGAAAAAGCATGTCCAAGAGATCTCTGCGCAACGCTAGAGAGTCCATCCTGAAGAATTGCAATCTAGAAATATACGATAGCTGTTTAGTCTTATGCGTCGAGAAAGAGAGGTGCCAAAGGAAACGTTTCTGTATACGCTCTAAGCGCAAAGTGTGTGTGGCGTAATGTAGTCTCCACACCACACTGCAATATTCCAATATACTTATAAAAGCGACTTCTTTATTTTTAAAAAAAATATCGATACTATCTAATTGAGATTTAACTGCAACAAAAAGAACATGTAAAAAACAATGTAAGTATTTTCAAAACATTTATTAATGTCAAACTATTCTATTGCTTCGTAGGTCTAATTTCGGGAGACCTTATACTGAGACAAGCCGTAAGAAGCCTTCCATTAATCACGTGAGGCTCGAAAGGGGGACAGAGTTCGTCAAAATCACGAAATATCACAAGGGGAAGGGGGGGTGTAGTAATATATCTCATGTTTTTATTTTTTCCGAAAACCAAAAAGTGGCGTCAAAAATGAGGTTTTTTTATGTACTAAAAATACACGTGATTTGGGTGAAGGGGAGAGAGGTAGTCTTAATCTTCGTCTGGTACCACCAAGGGTGAAAGGGGCTTAAAATGCTGAAAAAAACATCACGTGATTAATGGACGACCCCTAATGAAACTTGTTCAGTGCTGGTTTATTAGAACTTATATAAAGCATATTGAAAGTTTATGAACTCTGATAAATAAACTCAGATATTAAAATACATTTGTAGTATTTTCTTTTATAAAAAGTGAAATTTTATAAAATAGAAATCGCTTGAAATCATAAAAAGCAGTTGAACAAGTCTTTCCTAAGGTGCTCAATGGCTTCCCGGAACGCATTCGCCGCCGACTCAGAACTAATAAAACGCATCAAAGTTTGCCTTTACTTTTTTGCCTAATGACGCGAGGATCTAATTGTAAAGCCACAAAGTTTGCCTATAATTAACAATAGTATATAACAGAATATGGTGATCTAGGACAACATTACTTGGACAACAGTACGAAACGGACTCAGTTCCCTACCGGAAACGAGTGAAATAAACATATTTGTTGTATGGGCCCCCTTAAATGTTTATTTTATTTAGTTTTTTAATATTTGTTGTTGTCGGCAATAGAAATAAATCACCTGAGATTTCAACTGTCTTTCATTGTTCGTAAGATAGAGCGTGGTAACACACAGACAGACTGATAGACGGATAGCGAAATATAAGTCATTTTGTGCAGTTTTTACCCCTTAGGTATGGAAACTTAAGTCTCAAACACAACATCGAGCGCAGTGCTATGACAGCATAAAGGTCGGCTATTCGAATTCGAGGCTATTTTTATAACTTTTAGTGTGACTACATTAATATGACTATCTTACTTTTTTCATTTGCACACCCAGGTACGCTGGCAAGATATTATAGACTAATATTATTACGACACAAGTCTACATGCACGCAATCGTCTTTACTGAAAAATGAAGTAAGTTATCATTGATAGCCACTTCAGAGGGCGCGTACATTAAATTCACTAACATCAACTGGTTTTGTCTTTTGACTTTACGCGCTCCCCCTCCTCTTAATTTTGACTTTTTATTTTATTGATTGTAGTCATACCGTGTAACTGCTAAGAACATCAAGCGAAATCAATCTTAAGAGGTAGCTAAGCAGCTCCAATTCTATTGAATGTTTGACTTACGGGGGAAGGTCTCTGCGGGATACCTTGAACGTTCAGCGCTTTTTGACTCAATCCAATCTGTCAAAAAACTCGTTTAAATAAAGAGTTTTTTGATCAAATGATCAAATGATCAAAAGCGCAGTAAACCCGATAGTCTTGAGATAAATCAAAAATCATAACGTTATTTTATAATCGACAATTAAAGCACTGCAGATATCACCTTAATTTCATGTTAAATTAATTGCTACGATGTGGTACAATGGCAGCCCTAGAGAAATCATATGTTAAGATGAGTCACAGTAACAGCAATGTTTGTCCGTCTGCCTCGCGTCTAGCCGTAGTCTGGCCGGTGACTCATACATGCGCAGTTGCGCACGCACTGCACACAGGTAGCGCAACTCGCACCCAATCAACCGTTAAATAATAATAATAAATATACTCACTATTGCACAAAAAAGAAAACGACATGGACACATAAATATTCTGTTATCAGAGGGCCTCTTAAACTAATCACTGGCCACAAATTGATTTTAAAATGAATTCTAACAGCCGTATCTCGAGAAAAGTACTTGAGAATATTTTTACCAAATAAACAAGAATTTCAATGAAGTAAGAATAGCTATGCTTCGAATTCTCGTCTATCGTCTAAAAATATCTGTTTAATTTATGCCTTAACTCAAATAATTACTCCTACTCCACTACAGATAAGAGTGTAAGTAATTCATAACAAAATCTTAGAGAAACTCCTTAGTTTTGGCTATAGAATAAAATACTTATATATCTAAAATTCAATTTCTTCTCATAATAATATAATAATCTTTTAATAAATTAAGGTGTGAGACACTATAAGGCAAAGTATTTGTAATTTTACCACAATCGAGTAATAAATCAAAAATTAGAATCTAGTCTGTACTAGAGGAACAATATTAAATAAACTGTTCAGACTTAACAATGTAACTTATTCAGTTTTAGCGAAAAAATTATCGGAATATCTATGTACGAGTTTATTTATTCAATTACTCGTATTGGACTATTTGCTAAATACATTTTAATACTAATTGACACTTGTGTCTTACAGAAAATACTTTTTATAATACGGATCACAATGGGATAAGATCTCGCCCATAGCACGTACAACTGTCTCATTTTTTCAGTATGTTTCTAAGAGATAAGTGTATATCACTTTTAATATTTCTGTGAAGAAATATTCTAATTCTAAATCTAGTTAGCTTATATTGTGTGTCATTCTATAATTTTTATGGTGCAGAGCACAGGCGGAAATTTAAGACAGCTTATGTTTGACCTGTGTTAAGAAAATATTTAGAAATATACTTTTTATACCCTTCTGTTGAGGAGTCTTTCTGTGTCGAATTTACCATAGACATTTTTCATATATTATGGTTTGTTTCATTTTTTGAAGGAGCTTTGTTTATCTAAATTTTAAGGGTTCCATAGTCAATAAGAAATCCTTACCCTTATACATTGTTTCGCTATGGCCGTTGTATAACTGTCTGGCCGCCCGTGGTTTAACTCAAAACCTATTGGTAGGTACTAGAAAGTTATAATTTAGTGTAGTTGGCATGATTATCGTAGTAAATAAGTTAATCATGCCAACAAGAACTAAAGTAAAATCTTGAAAAAAAAAATTGATGAAAAATATTAAAAAAATCTAATCTTAGTACCAGCGACAAAGTGGATTTTTTAAGCATTTTTCATTAAGAATATTTTCCAGGATAGCATTGTGAATTCAAAATAAATCAAATATAATAAAAAAAATTAAAGTAGGTACTCCCCTACATGTAAACTCTAGGATGATGGGGGGATGAAAAAAATATTTTCGTGTTTTTCATAGTGTGGGATATCATAGGATAGATTCTTCAACAATTTTTCGATATAGATAACCGTTCGTAACTTATTAAGATTTAAAGTGCCAATTTCGTTAGAGTCAGGTGTCCGGCTAAAAATAGTTGTTTTTAACAACACAAACATCACGGCCAATAATACCTATATACGAGTATAATATAATGAAGTTTAAAGGAAAACTATCTTACTTAAGTTGGCTTTACAAGTTTATGAATAGTTATACAAATAATCGACCAAATTGTATTTAACTCGGTCATTTCGAACGACTCGTTTGAAAACAACAAACATTTTCCCTTCGTGCCCAACAGAACCCTCCGTGCGCATGTCCCACTGGTACTTGTTCTATTTTTTTATTTAGTTTCAATTAATATAATTTAGGATACTACAGCAACCAAAAATATTACATAATTAATTGTACATATGGCTATAACTCTAGGTTATAGCTAGAGTTATAGCCATTGAGTCTTTTTCTTTTTTTTTTTTTGTTAGGCGGCTATCCTAGAGTATTTTATTTTTAATTATTAGTTCCATGCTCAATAATTGTTCCTCTTTCCTTTTCGAGTACAGAACTGTAAAAAATAATGAAATAGTAGTTAATTTTGATTTATGTTAACCAGCCGGGATCTGCTGGACCGGTATGGACCGAGGCGGTCGTTGCAGCTCTGTGGCTGCGTTGCGTGTGGGTCGCGCGGAGTGCTGCGCGAGCGGCGCGCGGGCTCCCGCCGCCTGGAGCCCTAGAGACCTCGACAACGGCGAAATATTCTTCTACAAAGCACTGTCTGGTGGCGTGCCGTGCTCAGCTTGCGCTGGTATGTTATTTACAATATCTAAGGCAGTTAAACGAATAATTACATTTTTATGTGAGCATCGAAAGAATGCATCACTGTCCATAAAACTCTGTATCGTTTCCACGTAGCAATGCCGGCAATTTCAGATGACACCGAAACCGCTAACAAGCTAATCAAATAAAAGGTGTCAAAAAATAAAAGGTAACGAATAAAATGTCATAAGTAATATATCGTTAATGTCATCACCCATCGGTGGGCATGTTTTTTGTCGTGTGTGTTGTGTATCAAAGTGGATTTTTTAAGCATTTTTCATGAATAAGTTTAAATATTTTTCACTAATTTAACGTACAAAACTCACGAACTTTCAAAAATCTTTGATCTATTAATATTCTATGGTACTGTTTGGCATAATGCTCTAAGTAATTGTTTATTTTTCTTATGGACTTCTCCGGCACTGCCGCGGAGTACTATGTTTTGTTATTCAGGACACCATAGTTCGCTGACCCTACCCCGTACAACAATAGGCACTCCACGGAAATGATACAGTTCTATAGAAAGCGGCGATTAGTGATAGGTGTTGTTTACTTACAACACTCACATGATACTTTTACCGAGAGTAACAGAGTATACTTGACTTCGCGAAATATTTGCCATTTAAATGATAAAATGCCTTGCTTTTGAAATAAAGTTTTAAGTAACTACCTACTCGCTATATAGCCTATATTACTTACTGATAATGAAGATGCATTTGCAGTCGTTAATACCCTCCAATCCGCATTAGGCCAGCGTGGAGGGTCATGGCCCATCCTCCTTAACCATCCCTAAGGAAGGCCTGAGTGCAGTGGGGACGTAAAAGGGCTGGTGATGATGATGATGATGATGAATGAAGTTTTGTAATGTTGGAAAAGTTTTGAAAATCGGCCAAGTAGTTTATCTATGTAAAAAGGCAAATAAACAAGTTTTCAAATTGAAAAGGGGTTGCAATAGGTTTTAAAATTAGATAATTACCTCGCGTATTCATAAGTTTTGAAACAAACTTTTTACTGAAAAAAATAAAATAAAATATTACTGGCTGTTATTTTTTTACCCATTTTGAATTTGGAATGTTAACTTTTAGTATATTTGTATCGCAAACTTTTTGTTTTTTTTTATTGTGATGGAGGGAACAAAACAATTATGTGCAACAGTCCCCGAGCTTATAAGCCGTTACTTCGTCTATTACACAATACAGCGGTACGACGAGACAAGCAAGATCGCCAAAGGAGTGGTCGATCACGCTCTGTGAGAACGCCTGCGAACATCAAAATCTTCTGAGAGCGACTTCGCCGAAATCCATTCGTACTCAGAAGAAACTCGCTCTGCAAACTATAATTTCGCCCATTTCAGTGAACAGAATACTGAAATATGATTTTAAGGTAAAGACAAGTTCACCCAACAAAACAATAAAGTGTAAGCTAAAAGTAGCAAGGATGTCCCAGCTTCTGCACGGAATGTCTCGCGCACTCATCATCCAGCTAGTGTGATGGTATGGTAAGGAGTTTAGTATGACGGTGTCACTCCGCTCCTTTTCTGCCAACAAGGTGTCAAGGTGAAAGCCAAGAATTATCAGAGTGACATTTAAGAGAAATTGATACGTTATTTCACAATAAGGATTGGGTTTTTCAGCAAGACTCGGCGCCATCCCATATGGCAAAAAGCACCCAAGCTTAGTTAAGGGAGAATGTGCCGGCCTTCATCGCGGCGGACGAGTGGCCCTCCTCCAGCCCCGACCTCAACTCGCTGCATTATTCTTTATGGACTGAATTCGAGCTCAAGGCCTGCCGAAAGTGCCACCCAAACTTCGAGTTACTGAAGCGAACCCTTGTTCAAGAAGCAAAGCGAATTCCGCTAGAAAAAAATCATGCCGCTATTGATAACTGGCCAAATCGTCTAAGGGCCAGTATAAAAAATAAGGGCGGCTATTTTATATGAAATATACATTTTATTGTTGATTACTATCTATTTAGTGGTTACTGAAAATTTTAGAAATATAAGTTAATTATTAAGAAAGTTACTCAACTTGTATTTCGTCTCAAACTTATGAACACATGAGGTAGGCCCCTGGTCCCGCCTAGTGAATTCCTTATATATATGATTCTATCTATATAGTAGTAATGTAACACTTGTAACCAAATATGTTGATGAAGATAATAAGACGCGTGACTCTTTATGAATTTTAGACTTCGACACAAGAAATAAACAGCTTTTTTGAAAACTAGATGACAATTAAAATATATATATATAAAAAATAGGTATTACAAAGAGGTAAAGTTCTTTTTTTATCATTTAATTAATAAATAACCTACGGAAATCCTCCGGGCATTTCTTGAAGCCGTTTTGAGATAAGTATTATTTATCACATTTTTAAAGTGCGAAGTCGGCTCTATTTTTGGAAGTTTTTTAAATATGAATAAGGGGTTATGTTATGTATTATAAAACCTGTAACTGATACCTACTCCAACAAACATTAGTAATAAGTATTGCAATTAATATCAATTATCGATTAACCTGAATAGCATCAAACACAAACCTCTTACTGATAAGGCACGATTATGTTGTTCTATTACTAAATTCGAACAAAGGGTCATTGTTTGATAAATAGACGAATTGCTGATAATTACAAAAAATTGGCTCGCATATCAAGCCCACTCTATAGAGCTAAACTTTGCTTATAAATAACAAGAAAAATATACAGCTTCTGAAATAAACCTTCATTATCATTGCGGTGATGACTTCAGTTGGATATCATCTAGGATAATCTCAAGCAGTCTCAAGCCAATGAGCAATGACAAAAGATTCCTAAACAAAACGATTAAATTGGCATTTCTGTACTTTTGTGAATATCGATTCATCATCAGCCAATTGCTGTCTTCAGTGCTAAGGTATAGGCCTATATAAATGGAAACTAATCAAGTTGGGAGACTGGGCCATGACTTACCACGCAGGCCCAGTTTGAATTAGTTTATGTTAAAGACTGCAGATACCCAGATAAATGCTTTAACGTACCTTCCAATTCCTTGCTTGCTTGACGTTCGAGTTCGTGCACAACGTTCGAGATAATAAATTTCAAGTCACTCATTCTATGACCGCCCTTTGCTAATGTTACTTAAATTCTGGTCTTCGAGTATTGTTAAAACAAAGTTTAATTATTTTAATAAATGGCAATTGCCAACAGAATCCTGTGCAGGCGTCTCGTGTGGCACGGGGCGAAGATGTGTGGTACGCGACGGACGAGCAAGGTGCGTTTGCGCAGCGGCCTGCAGAAGAGTGGGGGCAGTATGTGGAACTGACGGACGAACCTACTCATCATTATGCAAGCTACGCCGGCGCGCATGCAAGCGGCGAACTAAGCATTTAGCGCTTGATTACCCGGGGCCTTGTCAAGGTAAGTACATAAGTGTGATGGGTAGTCTTTCGTTGGCTACCGAGCTACAGAGACGTAGGGAGTTTAAAAACTTACCTTGACAAAAAAAAACTAAGTACGACTAGTAGTGGTGGTTAGTTCCTGGTATCTGTCTTCTAGAAATATTAAATTAACCTTTTTCTAAAATCTTATTTTGATGAAATATATTTCGCTAAATCACAAACAACGTTAAATAAGTAAACTTGCGCTCAGCAAACGGGTACATCACTAATTACAATTAAAATTAATCCTAAATAGAAAAGAAAACACGATAATTCTTGTAAATTACTAATAAGAATCCAAAAAATATTTTTTATCTAACTACCTATGATTTGTCCCTGAATCCTAGTTGGCAATTAGTAGATTTTAAAAAAGATAATAACACAGACCATCACTAATTTTACTTCTGTTTATCTGTTTTGTGAAATAAGCCAGATTGCGGTCCGTAAGAAAACCGCAAGATTTATAATATTTATCTCATCTTGCATAGTGCGCATAGCAACCGCACAGCGCATATTGCACCGCCGAATGACGCTTGTTTAAACCCCCATCAATATTTACGAGCTCATTATTAGCACGCTCAGACCGAACTACCTATTCGTCGGCACTTTGTTGCTACCATGAATATTTTCCAAGATGCCACACTAGAACCGCTAGCGTAACAAGCTTATCGGCACACCACATGTTTACCGCCTAATCTTGATTGAAGTTTACTCGCCTACGGACATCAATTAAGTACTTAGCTCGATGATTTCATGTGGAGTACCTAATAGCAGGCGGTTCATACTTTATTTTTATAAGGATCTTACCTATTCATTTTGATACGCTACGCAATATGTGTAATATCCAAAGTATAATATTTTCGTTTTTCACATCCAATCTTACAATCACAAAAATCTAAGGGTAAGAAAATTACTACCTTGCTGTCGGTTACTGTTTAAGTGAGCCCGGTTATGTAACTATTCATGCTCTATAACGTAGAGCGGATCATAGAGGGCCATGGCCGTGACACCCCCTGATCCGTTTGACAATTGACATGGTTTGCAAACTCAATTAAAGATTTATTTGAAAACATATATTATATTTTGGTTATGTATTTACATAAAGAAAAGGTAGAATACTTAAAGGATGTTGTTTATAGATAATTTTTACATGGTCAAAAAACTGACTTGAAAGTTGTAGTCGCCCTAGGTATATCGTAAACAAAGTCGCAGTTTAGATTTTATTTGGGAGTATTGCGATGTGATTAAGAAGATAAACTTTACGCAAACCACAAAAACAAACAGACTCATTAGATTATTGAGAGTCCTCAGTAAAGGATACGAACAATCTTTTGTTAAACTTAACATACCATATATTTGCTAATCAATTTTCCACTTAAACATCTTTGACTTGATTTCCATTGCAACTAAACACCAAGAATACGTTCATAAATTGCAATTGGAATGCCAGCTCTAAAATCGAGACCGAAACAAATGACGAAAGAGCAATTGTAAATAGTCGTTCGTGATCACTCAGAATTAAAAATATATATTATATAGCCAATACTGCCGGCGGCTTCAACCGATTCAAGAGGTGATAAATTCCATGTAATCTAAACTCGAAATGTAGCCATTTTATCGCTGTCTAGACCAAACTAACGCCTAACCACAATAAGATATAATCGAGCGAGAAAGCATAGCATATTTACAAGCTCAACTACTTGTTTGTCTGATTTCTACTCCGTTATTATGTTACATTAAGCGTCGTGTTTCCTATTTTACAACCGCCACTTTTTATCCAGCTCGAAGGACCAGGCCATTACAGTTATTTATAAGCGTTGCGGTAACTTTATGGCTACTTCATTGTTTTGTCTATGAATATGAATGACCATGCACCGCCTACCTGACGTTTGTAAGCTTACGGAAATTTCAAACAGAAAACTCGCTTAGGCATGCGTGAGATATCGGGTATTGCCTATTAAAACTAAGTGATTCAAAATTGTTATCACAACATATGAATGTGATCAAGGTTGAAATAAAGTTATGTAGGGGAACATTGTAGTATAAAGTGCGAAGACCTTTTATGGATATTTCAAGAAACCAAAGACGAAGTCGCATAAACCAGGCACTTTTATTTCTGTCCGTGCTCCCAAAATCTACCCAATAATTAGATTTTTTTTTGTAAACATTTATTTTATTATTAAAATAATATATTACTATCAGAATATTTATCGTCCCGTCAATCAGACAATGGAGAGTAGTTTAATCAAAGCCTTTTTAGTGTATACGAGGGTCAAACTGAAAGTTCTTAGAACTGGCCACTTATAAACAATATAATAAAAAAATAATTCTAAAATTTGAAAATATAACTCTTTGCCAATATTACTGAGTATATATTTCATTCATTTGTCATTTGTTTTACGATTTGGCGGCAAATTGAAAATTGACTGTGTCACGTCATCATGAATTTAACACGAGAAAATTTTCGTGCAATGATTTTTTATGACTTTCGATGTCATTTAAGTCAACAAGAAAGTTATGATAGACTACGATTGGCCTTTCACGATGAAGCCCCATCTCGTGCGACTGTTTACAACTGGTTTAATGAGTTTAAACGTGGTCGCACTAATCTCACTGATGATTTACGTGAGGGACGGCCTTCTACGGCGACGACTGAAGATAACATCTGTGTTGTGCGGCGTATGATAGAGACTGACAAAAGAGTGACCTATCAACAGATTCGGACAAGCTTAGGCATCGGTATGAGTCAAGTGCACAAAATCCTCCACGAACATTTAGCGGTCAGGAAGCTTTGCGCCCGGTGGATACCTCATAATTTGACTGAGGCTCAAAAACTCCATCGTGTGGATTGGTGTCGTAAAATGATTGAAAGATTTAACGGAGGTGACTCAAATGCTGTGTTCGACATACTAACAGGTGACGAAAGCTGGATTTACTGTTATGATCCTAAAACCAAAAGACAATCTGCTCAGTGGGTGTTTCCTTTCGAGGAGTTGCCAACTAAAGTGAAGAGAGATCGAAGTGCGGGAAAAAAAATGGTGGCCTCGTTCTTTGGAAGGATAGGTCATTTTGCAACAATTGTGTTAGAGGATCAAAAAACAGTTTCTGCAGAATGGTACACTACCAATTGTTTGCCACTTGTCTTGGAAAAAGTTCGAGAGAAACGACCTCGCAGTAGGATCCTCCTTCACCACGACAACGCCTCGTCGTACACCGCCAAGCGAACGATCGACTATTTGGCGACATCAAACGTTGAATTACTGGGTCACCCGCCGTATAGCCCCGACCTCGCGCCTTGTGATTTTTATTTATTTCCAAAAATTAAAGAAAAACTTAAAGGAAAGCGGTTTATGAATGCTGAAGAAGCGGTGGCTGCGTATCGCGATGCCATTGAAGAGACCCCTAAGGACGAGTGGGCAAAGTGCTTTTCCCAGTGGTTCCATCGCATGCAGCGGTATATTGACGTGAATGGACAATATTTTGAAAAGATATAATAAAACTAATAACTGGCTAATGTAATCAGTTTTTGATTTTCTAAGAACTTTCAGTTTGACCCTCGTACCACGACGACGAGAGACCTATTGGTCCACCTAACTTCGTCCTACAGCTCTGTAACAAACCAATATAATCTCATATAAACCTTTTTTAACTTAGGGGAAATGCAACTATAATCCTTAAAACCAGGGTTCTCCAACCCCGCACCCGTCCTGAAAAGGACAGACTTAAGCGAGACCGGCCTACCTGGTAAAATTCACTGCAAGCACCCTCCGGGGGGACGGAGAATACGGGAATCGGCAAGGAGCTCTCCGGGTCCAGCCCCACAATCTCACATAAAACTACCTACGAGTATCTCATATTTCCTTTTACAGAAGGTAGTTGTGATCTCGTTCGATGTGGGGGCGATAAGAGATGCGTGTTAGATGCAGAGTTGGGCGCTCATTGCGTGAGATGTGGATCTTGCAATGTAGCCGGATCCCCAGTGTGTGCTGTCGACGGCAGAACGTATGCTGGCTTCTGCGCTTTACGAAAAGCTGCGTGCGAACGTGGTAGAGCATTGCCATTAGCATACAGAGGACCTTGCATAGGTAATAAAAACTGTTAAATATAAATTAACTGTTTATTGGATCACACCTAATCATAAAATTACATAAACAACACCTGAACTTCTAGTTATACAAATCTATAGAAATTCTCTTTTCTTTTAGATAAAAATTTTCTCGTTTTTTTATGCCCTCCAAGCAGTTATGGTCACGCCAAGTATGAATTTAATATTTAGTATTAGTATTTAATCAAAACCTAGGTATAAAACTCGTTGTTTCTTTTGAGATAAAACTGTTCTTGTTTCATTTAAAGTCAACTCAATAATGTGGAATTTTAAAGTTACCACTAGTATATATTATCAGGATATTTGAATAAACATTCAAAAATGATCATATTCAAACACCTTTAAGTACCTACAACATTCAATCTTCTCTATGCCTACAACCTGCACCAAAGATAATTTATCTATGCCGGTACGTTAACATTCTCTATCTATTTTTGTCGAACATGTGCACATATTGATTATTCTTTTAGGAAGCCTTTATCATCTTTAAAATTTTAATAATAATTCCTTGGTTTTCAGACTATGACTGCTGGGATGGATGAATTGTTTTAAGTATTTTTTAAAGACAATTTAGCTTCATGGTTTGATATTAGCAATTTTCATTTCTCCAAGCGGTTTAAAACCTTGAACCCTTTGATTATTAAGTTCGAAATTGATTGTATGTGATATTATATTTTTATTTACAGCGAACGCGACATGCGCTGTTATAAAATGTGGGTCAAGTCAACGATGTATATCTGGTGGTTCGAGCGGTGCGCGGTGCGTATCATGCGGCTCGTGTAAAGGGGGCCGAGCGCGACGACAGCTATGCGGCACCGATGCGCACACTTACCGCTCCTGGTGCCAACTGCAACGATTCGCATGCGACGTGGGCATAGTCGTCGATCCGATGCACCCGGGCGCATGTAAAGGTATATTTTTTATTTATTTCCTCCCTCTACCTCTTCTGTCGGTCGACCCAAATATCGCTGATACCATAAAAGCAGATCGTAGCGAACTTCAAGATAACAAGCTGGAGATAGCGCAAAACCATGGGAGAAGTTATTTGGTAGAATCGGTGGCTATTATCCATTTCGGTTAAGTTAAAACGAACGCTATGAAAGTACCCTAAACCGGAGTTCTTATATGATTTTCATGAGGATCGAGAGCAATGAAATAATGTTGTCTCTGTCTCCCTCGTAGGGAAGGAGACGTGAAAAAATAGATATAGATAAGACTACATAGATCTGGACCCCGAGAGCGGATCCAGAAGTTTGAGTAGGTCGGTCAATGATATTTTTTGTAATGATAAAAAAAGAATTTAATAATATGCATTTTCCTGACTAGGACTAGGACTATTTTTCTTGACTTGAAGGCTGGATCTACCCATTTGTGCCAAGCCGTGACTGTTAACTGTTCGCAACGATTCACTAGACAAACAATTTCTTAAGTTTATGTTGTGCAGGCAAAAAAGTACAATGAACTAAAATATATGGATCATTGTCTTTTTTTTATTTAAAACATTTGTAATAGTAGACTATATCCTTACAGGCAGTAAAAATGCAACAGACAACAGTGTGACCAGACATCGTGGGAAAAAAGAGAGCGGGTTGGATACTACTCGCGTCCTTTAAGGACTGAATTTAGGGTTTGACCTTTAGGCATAGATTTCTATCGATAGGAATAGGACCGATTTCTATAACGCAATAAGCAATTCCTTTGGCATCAAAAAGGCTCCAGCTTTAGTCAGGAGTCAATATTAGACAATATAGGTTGATGACGTAACCAGTGGCGGATTATACTATAGACATACTAGGCACGTGCCTATAAACTCAAAGTTAAAGAAATTAACTATATTTATGAGATATAGCGCCAATTTCCTGGTAAAATCACGCTAGGTACCAGATATCTGCACTAACTAATACGTAATGGGTTTACGTACGTTTTTTACGTACCTCTAGCCTTTGCATCGCGAACGTGGGTATATTCCCACAGCTGTATTTTATTATGAATTTTTGTTCAACAATGAGTGAATTAAAAAAAAACAATTTATATAATTACATACAAAAGGAAAAGAAAACATGAAAAGAATGTTTTTTTCATGATCTGCCCACAATTAAGGAAAGATTGAATGAAATGAGACGCTTGCATAGGGTGCCGTTATCCTTAATCCGCCACTGGCTAACATATTTTTTGCATCACGACTGTCATGAGTATAAATAACGTGTGAGCTCAGAGTTTCAACATCTAGAAAACCTTTTATTATGCTTTTTTTATAGGGAAATAATCCTATTGTTGTTGTAATATGTAATTTAAATACGCAAAGATATAAAGGAATTTCCATTAGTATTTCGACACATGTTTTATCAATCAATGAAAAAAATCGTTAAAGTTAACAACAATATTTTTATATGCCTTTATTGATTTTCATTATAATTCAATTACATATACGAATTTTCAAAACCTGTTGAAACTCGAAACATTAAAATGTCCATTTGTTGATACTTAAACCAAATGGTTGCTCCAAGATTGCATGTTAAATTCAATCAAAATAGTTCTTAAAGTAATAGATGACTTCCAATTTCGATGCACAATTTTTCGAATTTTTGTAGATAAATAATAATTCTAATAAATAATATAGTTCGTTTTTTAATAATAACACTTATATATTATTACATTTGAGCACCAAATCGTACTTAATATTTTAGTCAAAATATTAAACTTAGGAACTGTAGTTAGCACAATGTTTGGAATCTTATTACGTCGTTTATTCTAAATAAAAATTCTAACTTTTTGTCTTGTTGAATGAATATTGTAAGCTTATTTAGGTATGGAATTGAATAACGCTTTCATCGGACTGACATAATTGTTCTTTTATGTAAAATATATTTTACGGCCATTGTTTATATTTGGCCTTTTTATAACTTCTCGTTATAAATCCTCTTAACTTTTAACTTTCTAGTGTGTAAGACTTAATTTTATATTATTTGTGTTTAACGCTTAATTCAATATTTATTATGTTAAGTTATAAATATGATGTTAGTGCAATAATTTTATTGAAAACTGTATGAAATTTATGTTACGTGTTTTGTTTTGTTGTTTCTAAGAATTGAATATTATTTTGAGGAACGGAAAATACTTATTCGGCAAATCTAGAGTTATAGATACTTTTTCAGTATTACATGTATGTCGTTAGATATATTAGAATAAAATTTTCGAAAGTTAAAATTTTAAAATTCGAACAGTTTTATTAGACTGTAGTGTAATTAAACTTTATTGTGTAAAGTAAGTTATTGTTACTTTAAAAATTATTTAAAATATTACAATAAAATTTTATTGAAGCGATAAAATAAACCGATATCGTTATATTGTTGTCATTTCTGAAGACTTTTTAAGGTATCCTGTGTGGAAGCTTTAAATAGTTTAAAAGCTTAAGTTTTGGTAGCCTTAGAATGGTTCTCATTATAATAATTATATAACTTATAATTATGAGTAATATATTCTATTTCGTGACTTTTTTATTGAAATTAATGAAATTAACAATATTACACATCGAATGTAACAACAATATTACTTTTATTATTTCAACGATTTAGAGATGTGGCCACAAAAATTGTTTATAAAATCAATAATAAAAAATAAAAAATAATGTAATGACTTTTAAAGGTAACTAGTTTCGATTTATGTAACTTTCCATGTAGACATTATTATATTTTATCAATTTTCCATTTAAATACTATCCTGGAAAATATTCTCAATGAAATATGCTTAAAAAATCCACCAGCATTTTGATGAAATATAATAATTAAAACAAATTTTCATCCAATCGAAAGTTTTAATATTTATAAAAACATTTCTTTCGGCTGTTTGGGTGGATTGCATGAACGTTGTTGAAAATACGCTCCTTATAGCGAATAGTAACAAGCGCTTGAAAAATTCGTCAGTCCTGTAAAGTCTTGGGTAGCTCAGTAGAGCAGTCGCCCGGATTGCAAAAGGTCGTGGATTCGAGTCCCAACTGGAGCTGGTGGATTTTTTAAGCATTTTTCATTAAGAGTATTCCCCATGTATAATATTTTAATAAATCGGCGGCCCTTATATTTACACCTTCTATTTGATATAAAGAACAATGGCGGTTCTAAAGGTCGTAGAATGTTGATTATTTGTTATTTGGATTATTATTGCTTTTAACAAGTTCAAAGGAATTTGTAAGAATGTAATTATTCATTTTTTATAATTAATATATGCATGACAGTTTTCCGACCAAAATACAAGAATCGTGTGTGAAACCGGAAAAAAAATATTATTGTGGCATTATAGGTACCGATCCCTTAACATAAAAAAATAATACATCTTTCTTTTAACTTGATAATAGCCTGCCCGGTAGCCTCCGGTAACCGGTAATGGCCTCTTCACTCCGAATTTGTAGAAATATTGTGATTGCTTTTTTATTGTTACTGGTGACAAATAGATCGTCTTTATCACCTGAAGTACTTACGTACCCAAATATTACTGATCTCTGCCAATCTTCCTTTCAGTAATACTATTATTCTGTACCTCATTTTGTCACTTGGAAAATGCCTTCCAAACTTCTCACCTTATATAAAAAAAACCTTAAGACACAACATCGCCTACAAATTAGTACATGAAGGCCGTCTATGCTGTACATAACTATATAAAATAACTGCTTCACCAAAATCCACTTACAGTAATTGTCTTAAGGCTAAATTTCTATAACTAATGTTTATAACATGATCGGCAGAATGCCCAGAAATATAAGTATCAAGACCTATTGCGATGCATCAACATATTTTGCCATTTGAATATGAATGTATAGCAATACTATTATAAATCTCATGCCTTAAATCTCATCCACAATCCACTTCATAGTACGATGCATCTAAAATGTTGTACCTTCTTTAAGTGTATGTAAAGTATAAGTTATAATAAAAAAAATACGTTTACCACCATAATATAAACCATCCTCTCTACATTGGTTCTCTTGACGGTATATGAATTTAAATACCTTTTTAAATCACAAGAAGAAAACTAAGATTTGTTATATAATTTAATTTAAATCTAAAAATGTATTCATTTTATATTAAAAGAATATCAAAAATAAAATTAACATTGTTATATGTGTAGCAGCCAAGTGGTTAAAGCAGTCATCCAATTAGGCGACTAGCTAGACTAGAAAATGATGGGAATTGCAAATCCCTCTATAACAAAACGGCAAATTAACAATTTGTTGAGCTCTCATCAATATTGATCCTTTGTTACCAATAATCTTAACTCCCTCATTTAGCTAACTGGATGCATCCGCATTCCGCGTTATCTGGTGATAAGCAAATATGTCTCTCGAGAAGTTCTGTTCAATCAAAATTATATACAGGGCTACCATGCAGATCGTCATTGTCACCAAGCAATAACTCATTTTCAAAACAATGCAACACCTACACCGCGAAACTCGTCATCGATGATCATTCACATGCTAAATTATATTGGTTAATTAAAAAGGTTTACTTATATATTTTCATTGTAAACTTTGAACAAAGTAAATAACAATTCGTAGGCCTTATCTTAATTTTCAAATATAGAAAAATATTTTTTAAAACGTACCTCATAATATCTCTGCTCATTATACAAGCAACAACAAACATTTATATTCAATCTATATAATTACTTACTTTAACACTCCAGGCACCTAATTATCTAACTTTAAAATCTATCGCAGTGCCTTTCAATTTGACATTTAAATGGTATTCACGAACTTAACCACTATTGCGACTGCCAACGCGACGTTTTTTTGGAAGATGGATAACGTTAATTTGGCTTCGATTGAATTTGTATAAAGGCAAGCGTTAAACGCAAATGTCACTTTGAAAGCTATTGAGCAATTTCAAAGGAAAGAGTTGAACGCTAACTGCAATATTACATCATTTTACCTTAGTTTTTATTATGTTTCTTAATCATTCAAATTATTCATTCCAAAAGCTTTTGCGACAGATTTTGAAATTAGAATTAGGCCACATATCTACTTTTTCCACTCCACACAACCCTAATCATCAAAGATAACTTTAAATAATGTAATAAACTTCACACATTACTTAGTCTTGTATGCGCTGTCAACTATAAAGCAGTATGCAACTGTGTTATCGATATTTCGTGTGTAAGTGATGTCAGTGTAACTTAATTTTTATAAGTTGAAGTGGTTTTGATTCTTGTCAATTAATTCCTAGTTCTAATCAAATTGTTGATATGTTTGATCGTATAATAATTACTAAATTGTTGTCGATGTTCTTTATTGCAAGCATTACACAATGATGTATAATATATTGTCCCTGTTTCTTCATAAATATTTTACACAGACTTGGTGTCTTTATTATTTCCCTCTCCGTTTTATTTGATTAACAGATGAGATATGCTTAGCCTTTCGTTATTGGAAACAGTGCGTTACAAATAACAGCCGTATTGCTTCGTAAAAAAGCATATACAAGATCAAAATGATAACCAGTGATCGGAATTAGGTAGAGTTATTCATGTACTTACACTGATTTTATACAGCGAAAGAATAAAGTGGATATGCCTCAAATCCCGAGATTAATTTTAAAGAGCAGAAAAAATCCGTGATTTTTTAAATAAAAAGTTATTTACTTTTACACAATTTAAACTACTGCACGCACGATGTTGCCAAACTTACATCAATGAAAGAAAGAAATAAAGAAAGAAGAAATAAGGAAATCCCGGGAAGGTCCACATTAATATCAACATTTCGATGCAAGTACATAAATAACTCTACCTAATTCCGACCTCTGATGATAACTCTAGACGTAAAGTCGTTATGGCTAAATTAAATTAAAAAACACACTTACTCAATTATTTATTTTTAATAAGAATCATAGGCCTATAGATTCAAATTAATTAAGATTTATGTGTTTTTACAGAATACAATGTCGTCTTAATAGTTATACAATATTCGCAAAATATTTGTTTAATATCATGCAAAATTTATTAGTTGATTCGAAGCATACATTCGAGCTTGTCACAACTGAAATACTTAAGTAAGTTATTAAAAACTAAAGAAAATATTATCACACTGTAACAGCAAAAAATAGGAGAATAACCCAATCGCTGAACAGTGACGTAGGTATGTATTTCGTACAATTACCCGGCATTACATATCGTGCGCAAACACATTGCAATTATTGCGCGCACACAGATGCATGTAGCCAATTTTGTTATAGTAAAGTAAACCTTAAATAGTAACAATATCTACCAGTAGGCATAAAGGCCAATGTACGAAATTCTCTGTTTGGCGACTGGACTATAGAAGGATACATTCCGTACAGTCAATAAACGGGCACGTCTGGTGTTTGAGAAAGGGGAGCAGTAGTGAGCTCAACCTGCCACACACTCGCTTAGGACACCCAGATATAATAACGCGATACCTATTTTTTAATGTTACAATAATAACACGTACCACATGGCAATGAGACTGATATTTCTTTTTAAATTATATTACTGATACCCCACATACGTGTGTACAATAATTTCAGCAAATGTGGCAACTTCAAAGACGTTTACCTACTGTAAGTTTTTTGTTCATTGTGGTAGTGTAGCTTTTCTAAATACATTTCTAAATACACTTTCAATACGTAAATACCAGTCTTGTTATTAATAATATGATAAAAATAACAAACTGTACATTTAACAGAACATTAATTTATTACATTATTTTTTTAAATTATTTTATGCCTTAATCTGTGGAGAGTAAAGTTCAAAACTGAAAGCAAAACTTTGGCCTTTTATAATAGCCTAATGTATGTCTGTGTGACTGTATTATTCATAAATTTTTTCTACTTCAATATAAGGGAAATATAAAGACATTTTTTACAAATTTCAACACTCCTAAACCATGGAATGTTTTTAAATCTAAAAAAAGTTACAGTAAAACTACATTCATAATCGAAAACCTCTAATCTTCCAGCTCACAGCTTTGTATTAATAAGAACATATATCCGGATAGTTATCAACTGCCAACAAATAATTAATAAAATTACATAAAAATGTCAAAAATAAAAATGTAATGCAAAGTTTTACTACATAATGAAACTAAATATTATTTACAAATGCTATGTAACACAGTATGCTATGAAATACCTTGTAAATGTTGCGTATCATATAGACACAGATGAGACTGGTATTTTTTTGAGAATTTTTACTTAAGAAGTAGCAATGTGATTACAAATTGATCATATATAATAGTTACTTTTCCTTACATCAAATGTACAGATCGGTGTAAACAACCCTCTTAGTACCCCCAGCTTCTATACAACGTTCCCCACTCGTTATGTACACATGAGCTATCTTAAAATACCCGAACCGAAAACTCCATCGCCATCACGTACTTCAGCAGATGTCAAAATATAGAAGCGCGGCAAAACCTGGTCAAACAGAATGGTATAAGTAACGATCCACGCGCCTAAGCCCAGGCCAAACCAAACGTTTTCAGTTGAATACGAACTCGACGTGTTCACACTGATGCGTTCTCTGGCGAACGCAGCGGTGGCGATCAGCAGGCCTATTCGCTAACTAAACTGACGCTCGTAATAACCGAAATAAGTGAGCAATTCCAATATGTCAAAATCACTTATTCTTTACAATTTAGAAATTAGTGATTTATAAAAAATAAGTTACAGAATACCAAAACGGCGCGATCACCGCTTGCCTACAGAGCTTAGTGAAAAAAATATTTCGGTTGTCCTCAGAAGTTGCCCGAGTTAGAATAAGGCGACAGATCTCGCTTATTCTCGGAAAAATGTTTTCTAGCTTTAAAATATGAATATAACGCCCATGACGTATATATGATACGTCTCTATTCTGACTATAAGAATAATAGAAAAAGGCGTCGGACATCGGAAGAAGACTCGGAATAATTAGAGACTTCAATAATAGCATATAGAAATAAAACTTCTTTAGTGACCTGCCTCTAGCCAGCAGGTTAATTCTGCTAATGTTTACATATAATGGCATCTCATTAGAATCTCAACGACTTGCATTTTACCATTGTATCCAATATAATTAGTGCAATATCTTCCCTCATATGGAGGTGGGGCGGTCCGCCCCGGGCCTCCGGTCCTAGGGGCCTCCAATTAGCTGCAGTCACGCGCCAAAATCATTTTATGCCCCGGTTGGAAAAGTTGTCGATTCAGGCCTTTTGCCGCCCCGGGCTTCAGATGAGGTTAGTCCGCGACTGGTACAAAGGCAAAATGCAAGTCGTTGATATTCCATTAAAATACAATTATTACGTAAACTTTTGAAAGCACAGTAATCGCCACCGTGGCAATGTGGACGCCAGCTGAATACCATGGTATGGCCTAGCCTTTACCGCCGCGCAGTGTGAGTGAGATGGGCAATAAATTCGCTGTATTTTACACCTTATGATTATTAAAACAAGACCGATTGTAAATCTTAATCATAAGTTCGGTTCAGAAGGTAGATCTGCGCAAACAAACACCCACCATGTGTCACACTAATAGGATCTTACAATACGACTATCTAACAGGCATACCACTTCTCATTTGAAATGCATCTGATAAACAGAGGTAACTATTAAATAGGTAGTAGGTATATTTCTTGATAAATGTTTTTATACACAACCATAAGAAAAAATTTAGGCTCTTTTTAAAAGGCCTGTCTATCTTAAATGTAGTACAAAAATGAAGGTTTTTACTGAAAAGGTATTAAGCGTTACGCTTACAATTATTTTATCAATAGATGGCGCTTGAATGTTATTATTTGTAATATTAACACATATTTTGCGATTACAGCGTAATATTAATACTGTACTCGACTATTGTTTTGGTTTCTACTAGTTTACAAAATACTTAAAAATAATGAACTGGTGACGTCATCCTAACATATTTCTTTTCTCTTTCAATGAATTTGCCAAAATTAATTTAAAAGTAGTGAAAACAAAATGTATTCACATTATTAAAAAATGTAATGATAAGTCAGTGCCTTATAAATTCACACACATTTTTGTTTCAACTAAAACGTCTTTCACAAAACATGATTAGTTATTATTGTTTTAAAAAAATCTTCTATTTAACAGGTATGATTCTTAGTAAAAATGAAATACTTACTAAATACTACAATAAAATAATAAGCTTACGTCATCCATGAAGTGCACAAGCTCAACATTCTTGTATTTCATGTTGCATAGTTGTCCTTGTGAACAAATCCAACGTTAATGCACTGAGGAACACCGGTATAGATCTGTGCTGATGCAGATGTAACTCGACCAGTTCGTCTAAAGACGCAGAATACTCTGTGTGTACCATTTCTATACCATCGTCGCATAATGTAAACGTAAGGTACTCGTCAGCAGATTCAGCATACATGTTCGATATTCTGGAATGGTAAAAATCTATCATAATATACAATTTTTTTCGATAGCATGCACTTCTCTTTCCAGCGTTTAAGATACATTGTAAAAAAACTTGTACAGTAAGATATAATTTTGTATGAATAATTAAAAGGATATTTTGTTGTGGTTTTTTTTTTCAGATGTATTATTATGAATAAAAAAAGAACATCAAAATCCATTCAGTAATTTTGCGTGAAAGAGTAACAAACATATAAACATGTGCCTCACAAACTTTCGCATTCATTAGTAGGATAACTTAGAAACTGCCACCTGGACTATTTATAATCAAATGTGATAATAATAGTGTACCGTAAGTGGGAAAACAACCGAATACTATGGACTGTGCTATTTTTTAATTGAATTCTCATTATCACAAACCATTTTTTTAATGTTTATGTGTGAGCTGATTGATTTTTTATTTGTACAATCAATAGAATATCCGGTTAGTACAACCGATCACCAATCAATTTCAAGTTCAAAATCCATCAATAATTAAGTTCAAAATTGATTGCAAAAATTTTGGTCTTTATGTTAATGTTAATGCTGCTAGTTTTTAATTTGAAATAAAATATTGTATCATTGCTAAATATTACCTGTAGTTTTTATGTCCCGTCCTATCAATTTTATAACCTAATAGCATATAACAGACGTCCCTGTATTCTTGTGCTGAAGACGTAAATTCTTCCTTCATTCTGAAACAACAATAAAATACTTAAATACAGTACTGTAATGAAAACCTAATCGTTAAATATATAAAGTTTAGATTGTTTTGATCATACGTTGGTTAGAAGAAAAAAAACGACAATTTCATACCATTTAATCAGATAGCGACACGAAGCATCTATTGCTGACTAGTTTTGTAAGAGAAAAAAAACATTGTTATATAAAAAAATACCTTTTCAGTTTGACATCCCTGCTCTCTAGTTGCTGTCGCAATTTCTGCGTTTCTTCTGAGATGTCACGAGATCCACCTTCACGTAGTGCGGCTTTTAGTCTTTTTATCTGCAATATTACGTTTTAAATTTCTACTATGAAGAGATATTACGCCTGTACGCCTGTAAATATATACATATACAAATATATACATATACAAATATATACATATATTACTAGCTTTCCGAGCGCGGCTTTGCCCACGTGGAATATTTTTCGCGATAAAAACTATCCTATGTCCTTTCCCAATTATCAACGGTATCTACAGGGACACGAAAGCGGGAACCTAAAATTAGCATCACGACAGGCCAATCAAAATGGCAGTGAGAGTTGTATATACTAATGTGAAAATAAAAAACGAACTTTAATATATTTACTTATGCACACAATTGTTACTACCTCTTCCTGTGCCGTTTCCAGGTCCTGTTGCACTTGCTTATGTGCAGCAGCTGCGGGATTGTCAGTCAAATGGATAACCTATCAACAAAAAACAAGACTTCAATTGACTTTCACAAAAAAAAATCTTTTATACTTTAAGGTCCTATCAATTCCTCGGAACATGCTATGTTAAAGAAAAATAGTGGGAGTTCATTTCATTCATATTGAATGACTTAAAATTAACATCTGAATGTCTATTTATTTCTATTTAATTTTGAAATGATAAAACGATTCCAAAGAAAAGTATTTTTGGGTAATTTATAATACACTAGAGACCTTCCACTGCTTTTCTGATGCACAGATAATCTTCACAGATATGATTTTAACAAATTATAAGAACGATTTGAAATCTTCGGAATTTTCATTCAAGGGCAAAAATTTCGATACATATCAAACGTTTGTGGAAACGGTGTTGCTTGCTGCTATCTGAATTTATCTAGTGACTTGAAGAGTGCAATATTGCAAAATTTATCGAATTAATATCCATGGGCAATACTGCGGGAAAAAAGTAAAACTGTTATATTTTTAAATGACTATGGCACGTTTCATATGTATTGACTCAAGAATAAGCCCTCATTTTAAATTAGTATGAGTAGTTAATTATATAATGCAACAAGATTTTTATCGAATAGGGTGTTGGAGTCTGCTATAATAGGCGACCTATAACTTTCGACCCGATTTAAAACAATATAGCTGGATCTAAAAAAAATATAACCTATGGGAACTACAACTGAAGAACATACCTTAGTCTTGGGAGCGGTGTCGAGTCGCTCCATGTGTGCTTGGAGAGTATCTCTCTGTGTGCGTAATTTTTGTACGTCACGACGAAGCGCCTCTGCTTCATCTCGCCATTTAGTAACTTCCGCTCGAAGAGTTTCAACCTCTGAACAAAATAGATTGATTTTTGAGTATATTACTTATAATTTGAGCTTATTACTCGTAAATTATCAAATGTCTTTTGAGGAACTACCTCGTACCGATCACACTTCTAAACCACATCTATGATTTGTTCTCGAAAGTTATCACAAATAGCTTTTATATTATTGTGAAACTAGCATATTAACTAGATATTCGTTCAATGAGCTATGGAAAAGTCTATACTTGGGGTAATTATAAAAAAAAAATAAGTAAGAACTATCGTCTACTGCCCCCTCTCTTAAAAGGAACAAGACAGTGAATATGGGTGTGGTATGGTTCTGGTAGTGTTTATATACTATTACCGATAATATCACACTTTTATGCTTATTATATTTATAATATTACTTAAATTAATAATGATAAAAAAGCATATTTTATACTCGTTCTCACGTGACCCCAAACAGCGCGTGACGGCACGCCCCTCTACTCATATTAGAACTTAGAGAATTAAACCTTATGCATACATAGAACGATATTAGTTTTAGAGAGGCGTGATGTCAATTTTAAAAATTAAATTTATTTTTAGATTATGCTGAATGATATTTCTTATATCATCATCACATCTGTTGCAGTCCACTGCTAAACGTGCTCCCAGAGAGCGCTACCAAACACGATCTCCCGCTGTCTTTATCCAGCCACTACTGACCATCTTTATGAGGTTGCCAGTCCATCTTGCCGGGAGGTATCTGAAAGTACGTCTCCATTCGAGAATCTGTCTACCATCCATCACCATAGTCTTCTGTCAGACAAACTCATTCTGGATTTTATCCCTTAGAGAGACTCCGAGCATACATTTTTCCATAACTCACTGAGCGACTTGTAGTCGGTGGGCCAACTTCACTCTCATGTTCCACGCTTCGGCTTTATAGGTCATGATTTTTAGGACGCATTGATTGAATACCCGTATCTCCAGAATATGATCCCGCTGATTTCTCGCTCGGAGTTGTCTCTACCTAACCGCAGTTTTTACCCAAGATGTATTTTTTTAGATAAATTGCATGTATATCTATAAAATAACAATATTTTAAAAGAGTCATCTTCCCCTACTACCCCTATAAGTCCTTCTAAAGGATTAATTTCACGTAAGAACTGTGGACTATCTTCCTCCCTCTTATAAAGAAAAAGATATAGTCAACTCCCCGAAGCCTCCCCCCCATATAAAGATTCCATGATATTATTCAAATATGCTTACGTTTAGTGTTTGCCTGGTGGTCGTGCGTTGCGAGTAGATCGCGGTATCCCTGCAAAGCCCTCTCCAGTTGTTCGACCCTCGCGGATAATAACGCCGCGCTACCAGCGCCAGATTCACCACACAAAGTCACTGTCAACTCCTTTTCGTAGCAGTCCAATTGTTGTCTACACAAGTTGTCAAATAAAAAAGACTAATTAAAAACAGTCAAAGTCAAAATAATCTTTAATCAAATAGACTTCTTAAAAGTACTTTTGAATCGTCCGACATTTTTTTCCCTATCGCTCGTTCAGGACGTCTTTTGGCTGATAAGAAGAACGAGCAAGAAACTCACCAGCTCTAATAGGAATAATGACATGTACAAAAACCATGTCATGTCATCGTCAATCGGCTACTTGATTGTTAAAACTTATAGATTGTTAAAACATATGAAAGTTTTAACAATCAAGTTTTATTATTAAACCAGAAGCTGTTTTCCCGCGACTTCGCACGTGTAAATTATAGCCTATGTAAACCCCGTATGATGTAACGTATACGTAAGTGAAAGAATTTCCAAAATTGGTCCAGTAGTTTCACAGTCTATTCGATGCAAACACACAAACAATCAAATATTTCATGTTTATTATATTATCATAGAGAACCAGATTTATTATTCTCCAAAAAGTGATATCTATACTAATATTATAAAGCTGAAGAGTTTGTTTGTTTGAACGCGCTAATCTTAGGAACTACTGGTTCGAATTGAAAAAATATTTTTGTGTTGAATAGACCATTTATCGAGGAAGGCTTTAGGCTATATAACATCAAGCTGCAACTATTAGGAGCGAAGGAAAAATGAAAAACGCGGACGAAGTCGCTGGCGGCCACTAGTATTAAATAAAGGAAAACATATTTTTAAGTTCCTGCGGAACAATCAGTCACGTGACATTTCGAGTTGTGACATCACGTTTTAATAAACTCGCAACTGGGGCTCTATTTTTGAATCATTCGTCTCGCGTCGAGCGCTCGTTTTCTACTATCACTCGCATACAACGTTCGCTAAGCGACGAGTGGTTCATACCATTCGTTGCTGTCGAGCGATTTAGAAATGGCGAATTTGTTAAGTCGAACGAAAATCAGTAGAAAACGAGCGCTCGACGCGAGACGAATGATTCAAAAATAGAGCCCCTGGATGTACTACCAAAAAGATGTTTACGCTTAGTTTATTGAAAAGCAATGTCACACGATGCCCCGTCATGGCCACCCGCATTTCGGTTCTTGTAATACACAGATTATAAATCTTAAGTTAATAGGGGTGTAGACAACTTTTTTATATTAAAGATATACATTAATTCAAAATTTTCCACTACACTACACGTCTAACACTTCTGTCATGGCGCCGCTATGACGTCACGGCCCTCTGAAACTAATATTGTTCTATGTATACATAAGGTAAAATTCTCTAAGTTCTGATACGAGTAAGTGGGACGCGCTGTTTGCGGTCACGTGACAACGAGTATAAAATATTTGTTTTTTTTTATAAGTTATTTTAAGCAATAATATAATAAGCATAACAGTGTGATTATCGGTAATAGTATATTAAACACTACCAGAAAAAAAAATGTATTTATTTCCGATTAGTGTCTACACCCATATTATGCCAAAATAAAATATACTTACAATTCATTTTAAAACGAAAAATACTAAAAGGACATTATTGTTATAACTATAAAATAGTTGTCTTCTCGCAAGAGAAGCTAAAAATTGCCGTTGGAGGACCATTTTTAGCGTTCCGTACCCAAAGAGTAAAACGGAAACCCTATTGGTAAGGTAAGACTTCACTCTCTGTCTGTCACGTGAAAGTTAGGTCAGTTGAAAATAATGTAATTCCGTTGCTGCTTCAACAACAAATATTAAAAACCCGAATTAAATAAATAGTCTGACTTGCACTTGGCCAGTTATTTAAATGTTCATTATGAATAAGCACTTAATTAGATAAAAATAAATAAAACACACCTGTAGCTGTCTCTCTCTCTAGAAACCAGTAGCAAACGTTTTTGCAATCTATGAATGAGACTCTCTTGGTTCTTGCGCACAGTTTGTAGGTCATTCAGTTTTGTTGTAGCCTTATCACGCTCATATTTTACAGTGGTCATTTCCTGTGTAAGAAAAGAAAGCCTTAGTTATTCATTTTAATTTTTTTATTTGTTTTTTAAATAAAGGAAGAAATATTTAAAAGCTTGAAAATAGGATATTCATCTTTAATTTAAAGAAAAGCAACTACTATACTAAAGGAAGAATTTCCATTTTAATGTCTACTCTTTACTAATTTATAGTTTTATTTGTTTTGTATTTTTTCTTTTTTTTGCAGAGGTCAGATAGTATGGTATGAGAGGAATTATGTAGTACTAATCATCATACATAGTTTGTACTAATAATAATTTTATACTTGTTTTATACACTCGTAAAATGTTGGCAACCGGTTAATGCTGTGAAAAAGAGTAAAACAATAATAATAGAAGAAACAATGTGGGTTGTGTTATTATTCTGATATTTTTAAATACAGTACAAGGACATTGACCTTGAGCTCACACATAAAGTTAAAAAACTATTTCAGTAGACTTCCAAATTACCTCTGTAAGCTGTGCCAGCTGCGACTGTGCCTGAGAACTCGTCGCTGTAGCGGTGAGCTGGCTGGTCAATGCTGTCTCCAGAGCTGATGATAGAGCTCTCGCGTTTTCCACGCCATGATTCCTGGCTGCAGTTTTCCACTCTTCCAAGGACGCTTCCAGAGATGCTACTTTCACCTAAAAAAGCAACTCATATCTAGATATATATAACTCAAAGGTGACTGACTGACATAGTGATCTATCAACGCTAGTGATGAAAGAGACTCAGGCTTTTAAGGCTTTTAATAAAGACTCGCTTTATTTTTGACGCCTCACGACTGACTCAGTCTTTTAGTCCCGAACCTTTAGTCTTAAGACTAGTCTCATTAGTCGAAGTCTTTTAACTTAAAACGCTCAGCAGTTACTTAAACAGCTTAAAGGACTTAAACAGCTTAAAAGACTGGCGACTCTTCGCCTGAGGAGTCGAGAGTTGTAAGCCGGTTCATTATCCATTTGCATAAAAAATATTTATAATTTAAAATTTTTTAATTTTTAATATTTTTTTAATTTAATAAACCGTAACCGTAACAGATGTATTTATTTTTCCATAATAAACTCTGATTATTATCTAATATGTAGGACAAAGTTTTTTTCCATATATTAGGAAAACGATTTTATTGAAAACTAAACGCTTTACTCGAACGCCAGCTCTCTCGAATAAAAACACGTAGCGCTTTAAGTCGTTTTAAGGCGTTTTAGGCATTTAAGTCGTTTTAGCGCAACTAGTCTTATACGTTATCTGAGTCGTATTTTTTAAGACTAACAGCTAAAGTCTTAATTTTAAAGCAAAGTCGTGTAAAAAGAGGCGAGTCTTGTCTTAAACGACTTAAAGGACTGAGTCTCTTTCATCACTAATCAACGCACAGCCCAAACCACTGGACGGTTCGGGCTGAAATTTGACATGCAGGTAGATCATACGTAGGCATCCGCTAAGAAAGGATTTTGATCAATTCTATCCCCAAGGGGATAAAATAGGGGATGACTGTTTGTATGAAACTTTGTCAATTTTAAACTGATCCGGCTCAGACTTTGCATACATAAAACTACTATGATGTAGACATCCCCTAAGAAATGATTTTGATAAATGAAACTTTATTTCAGGTATATAACACCTGAAATAAAGTTTCATTTATCAAGGTTGCCAGGAAGAAATTGCTTTTTAGCAATAAGCCCGCTAATTGTACTGTTCTGTTAGATTATTATGTATTGTTCATTCACTGGTGTGTACAATAAAGAGTATTTCGTTCATTCATAATTAATAAATATTTGTTATGAATGCTGCTCAATGTTACTTTACCACGCGGACGAAGTCGCGGGCAAAAGCTAGTTGCTGATAATCCATAACGGTAACCGTGTATTACCATTATAAGTTGTTTTAATCAACGCTTAGAAATAGAAAAAAAAGAGTAACATTTTTCCAGATGTCTTCCTACAGCTTTAGAATTTTTCTAACACTAAAAAGACACATTGAAACTTCGATACACTATTGCTTTAGTGTAAAATATGAATAGTATAACCTAAGACTACGCTGTATGGGCTTTAAGAAAAATTTGTGGTGAGTAAAACAAAGAATTAATTTCTTGTTGTTAAACAGCCTAAGTCATTTTATCAAATAATTGATAATTTCTGATGGGTTTATACTTTCATTCCCAATTCGAGTTAAATAAATCTATAACATTTCAATTATTCGACGCGTTCTTTAAAGGCGGTACACAAAGAGCATAAATTTCTGCTAATATTAACAAATAATAGGGGATGATGACTGGGTAAAAAAAATGCAATTCTATTTAGTCCGTCAGTCAGATAATAGAAAAATATTAGATACGTTTTTTTTTACTTTAATTTAACAAGAAATAGCTTAGAAAACAGGCATTAAAGTTGAGGAGTGGGGGCTCGCTACGTCACAGTTGAGTAGAAAACGTACTCTAACGTGACGTCATGCGAAATTTCAATTCCATGTAACGCCGTTATTTTATGATTACGAAAAAATTAAAAAAATACGTGTTTAATATTTTTTACTCCTCTACCTGACAGACAAACAAACAAAAATTAGTCAGCATCCCTATTATGAATGAACAATAGTTTTCTTGCAATATAATAATATATCTATATAATATATAATTGAAAAATTGTAAGAATAACGTTAAGTCAGCCATTTGGAGGCCCCCATGTTAACGTTTAATTGAAAAAACATAAACTACCACTACAGGCTGTACTTATTTTTAATTTTGATAGAGGTAACTTGCAGCCATTTGGAGGCCCCCATGACAAAACACCCGGGGCATACCGGCCCCTCCCCCTCCCTCTCCCCCCTTAGTCCGCCACTGATTTATTTACAGCTAATATAAAAATATTACTATAAATCTTTTATAATTACTTTAGCTTCATGCAATTCCTGCTGAACCGGCTGCAACACCTCAAGTCTAGAGTTAAGCTGGTGAACTTGCTCCTCCAGTAATAGCTTGTTGCACACCGCATCTCTGAGTGAGCGCTCTGTAGCTCGAAGACGGACCACTTCCTTCTCTAGCTCGGCCATGTTTGAAAGTCTTTTTTGAGCTGTCTGATAGAAAAAAAAGCACTATAGCATTCAGGCCATGGATGTGCTTATAAAGGTTATAAGATCTCAATCACTCAATATCCAGAACTAGGAATAATGGCTAAGTCACTTCTGAATTATGTCGGAGCTCCAATGATAAATGTTTGGTCATTCATTCCACAATCAGCCTTTAAGAAAGTTTACAAGCCATAGTAATAGCAAACAGAACATGTTAAATATCTGAGCTCTTCAGTACGAAATATCTTTGAAAATATTTTTTCGTATTATCCCTAATACCTGTATAGAAATTAAAAATTGTCCTTGTCAAAAACGATAATATACTATTTTTATTATTGCCAAACACCAAAGATATCTTCTTAAACTTAATATTGTTCTTAATGTTAAATTTAAATATATACCTTGGCCTGTTGCTGCCAGTCTTTGTAAGAGTCTCTCTCATACTCAATCTCTTTAAGTTTGCTGGTGACTTGTTGTAACTCAAATGTTTGCTTCTCAAGCTGATTTTTAAGTGTTATGCACTGCTCGGCCCGTGCTGTCTGTTTAGCAACTTCTTTCTTCAATATTTCTACCTCTGTCTGTGCACCTTCTAAAGCCTAAGAAATAAAAAAAGATGTAAAAATTGCTATAATCAGACATTATAATAAATTGCAGGACATGATCAGAATAAACAGCAGTAGCATCCAGAAAAATTGTTTTGAAATTCATACACAACAAAATGATTATTATTTTACTTAAAATACTTTCTAAAAAAATCATGCAAACCTCCAGCTTGGACTGTATCATCGTCATCATCAATAATTATTAATACCTGCAATAACTCATCCATATCTTTCTTCATCTCAGAGAGTTGATCTTTACTGCTGACATTTGATTCAAGTAACTTCTCTTTTAGTTCAGCTATCTGTTTAAACAATTCATTTTTCTCTTTGTCCCAGTTTGCTTTAGCATCTTTTTGTTCTTTAATAGCCTAAAACAAATACAATATACTAGGAATAGGTTAAATTAATATTTACATTCAAACATCCCAAACTTCAGATTGAGGATATATAGAATGCTTACATAATGAGTTGGTAATCAATCACATCGAAATTATAAAAGCCAGCAGAGCTATTCTATTGTAAAAATAGCATCAAATTCAACAACAAGCGCAGTGTTGTCATAGTGTAGAGGTTCAATCTAGTAAAACCTATTCCAAAAGGTAATAAAGATTTTATTTTATCAAGAGCTCTAAGGATTGCATATGATTGATTGTATAAACAACATGTTAACCCCACATTGCACTGAATACACTTCAACAAGCACAGGTGTAGCAGAGAGTAGATAAGTTTGTTATTTCTTCTCTTGACTCTTATTGGTTTACTTTACCAACTAGTACATTGGTTGATAATGCCCACATATGGAGAGCAGACAATCACTATGCTTATTTTCAGTAGGCAATGACTGTCATTGGTTTATCCACTACTGCAAGCTCATTTACATTGGTCGATAGGGTATACCGCATGCGGAGTGCAGAGATTTTCGTACGTATTTGTATAAGTGTTTGACTGAAACTGAAAGAGTCTATCACTCGCACTATGCATGCGGGCCCTTTCGATAAATGTAAATATGCGATTATAAAAGTCAACAGAGCCCTTTACCTATTGCATCATCACTTCCAAAGAGGTAAAACGTGAGAGCAGCTCCCTTCCCTCGCCCCTAATTTTAAAATTGACGATTGGAATACGTAAAAATATGCTGTAACCCCAATGAACATTTTCAACGAAAACTTGCTTAAACAGGGTATAGCCACATTCTGAGATCAACTAACACAAACCGCAAATATTACTTTGTCATTCATACAACCACTATGAAAACACAACAAAAATAAAGTATTACATATAAGTAAGTATTTGATATGATTTAAGGCACTAAAATGTAATATGATTACAAAACCCTCAGTATGCGAATCTGACTTACACTTGCCTTTTTATACTAATTGGTATCTAAACAAGTTTAATATACATTAAAAGTAATTTGCAGGTTATAAAATATATACACTTTATCTTTTTCTTATTATTGTGTATGAAAACAATCAGTTTTAAATAATCTATAACTTGGTCATTTATTTACAGATTTAATTTTGTTTTCAGATTTATTTTAGTTTTGATCTATATTTTTATTATGTTGTATTAAATATAATAACATCAACATCATGGAACTTCCTAATTATTTAAACCATTAAGTAAAACTGACTGCCAGCCAGTTGCCCAAACATCCATTAAAATTAAAACAGCATAAAACCTTAAAGGATGTTTGTGCAACTGACCATACTACTTTTGATTTTAATTGATGATTCCTCAATAATTAATAAAAGACAAACAGACTTTTTGGACATATCGCCATAAATTCCAAACACACTATTTAGCATTTCATATTGATCTACTAAATATGACTCTCTTTTGCTAAAAACTTAAATGACAAAACATTGTTGATTTAAAAACTTATCACCAATTAGATATTGTAGTAGTAAAAAATATACCATATTTCATTATTTTCCATAAAAAAATAAAAATTTCAATTAGACATTAATTGAAATATTTTTTTTATGAATTATTCAAGTCGGGGGTGAGAGTAAGGCAAACACCCCACCTTGGGTATTTTATCATATATGATTTGTAAATTATGTGTTTAAATATTATGATTTGAGTTTAAGTAATACAATGCAAATAAACACAATATATAGAAAAACAACTGAACTGATTCATCACTAAATTGTATAAAATAGTCGCTTTCTCTGTCCCTATATCTCTATGTAAGCTTAAATCTTTAAAACAATACAATGGATTTTGATGCGGTTTTTTCATAGATAGGGTGATTCAAAAGGAAGGTTTTTATGTATAATACAAGAACACGCTGGCGGAAAGCTAGTATTCAGATAATCAGAAATGGTTATCAAGTAAAAAAATTTGATATTTGTATTAATTAATTACATATTATGAGAAATAAGTTTATTTTGGAAACCAGTTATATGAAGTGTCCTTAGTTAAGATATTTTTTAAATAAGGAATACCTAAGAGTCTAAAGTCTAATAAAATATTCACCTCATTAAACTCTTCTCTCAATTCTTGCTCTCTCCTTCTGATGACCTGAAGTCTATCTTCCATATCAGCCAAAGCACGCTCATCTCTTTTATGCTGCTCAACTAAAGATGCCTTCTCCTCCTCAAATAAAATCTGCATCTCTTTACGAATTGTATGCTGGTGATTTACGCGAGCTTCCAACTTTGTTATCTAAATTAGTAAAGTAAAATTGTATATTGATGAATGCACACTTCTTATAAAGCAAACCACTATTTCCTGTACTTAAGCACTTATGCTTACCTGAGCTTTGGCAGCTATCAGATCTATTTTCAATCTTTTGGTTTTCCAAGGAGAATGGGGTGCATTAGAAGTTGATTCAGTGCGCAATCGCTTTTCTGGAGTAGAACCATCTCCCAAACTTGACTTTCTTTTTCCAATGGAGAACAGGTTAGAAAGACCTAAAAATTACCAGAATAGTATTTAATTAAGGTATTATATGTAAGAAACTATGCGATTAAAATTCATAATAATATACAAATCTTACCTTCCTTGATAGACTGGTTGCTGTCAGAAAAATTTAATTTTGAAGACGCCGATAACTTGTCTTTCGGTGGGTCAGTATTAATAACTCTTCTGAACGGTTCTAAAACATCGTTAAATAGAGACATATCGCTCTCTTTAGCCATTTTCTACAAAATGCTTATTTCTTCTGTTTTTAACAACATTTATTTCACCTTTATTAAAATATCAAATAATCTAAAATCTAACAACGCCAATAGATAATACCAAAGAGTAGATAATACTACCACAGACCAAACGAATACTACTCTTTGAACCACAGAACAATAATACCTTTGAACTATATTATTTTTTTTTAATAATTATTTATTCATAGCCATGGATATAAGTCTTTCAGTCGAATACATTTTATAATATTTAACATTTGTAGAATAGTTATATACCTACATATTTATATATTTTCTATAGTATTACAAATGTATTTGAACAATGGAAAAAAATAATCTGAATAGCAAATCCAGATTATTTTTTTCCTATTAGTATAAGTATATAATAAGAAGTCTATTATGCGGCGGGGAACACTTTTTTCACTAGTACTGTAATTGATATGAACTATATCAACAATTCGATGGTTTGAACGCCACTGACAGATGACTGACAGTCTGACAACCAGCAGGGCTATTGCGTAACTTTGTTAACAACTAATTTTGTTAACAAATAATCCTTTTCTTGGGTAGAAAATATCGATAAATCAACTTAACGATATAATTTTTTTATATATGCCCATTCTTTATTTTGTACTAGAATAGGGACAACGATTTCATTTCGATTTTATCTTGATCAAGATCAAGGGGATCAATCGTTGATTTTATCCCACCCAGATCGATATCAAGGTCGTCGCAAAACGCATAAATCAAAAATAAATAAATCTAAAAGGGCTGATAGTCAAAAACTGTGTTGCAGTTATAAGCGCCCACTTAAGTTCGGTTTGCACAAATAAAAAAGAAAACATCAGGAAAATAAATATACAATTGTTTTCAAAGTGTGTGGGTGTATATCTATGTATGTGTATGTGTGTGTGTGTGTGTGTGTGTGTGTGTGTGTGTGTGTGTGTGTGTGTGTGTGTGTGTGTGTGTGTTGCGTAGTGTATATAGATTTACGATTAGATTGGGAATAACAATAAATACAAATTTCAAAGCAAGAAATCAGGGCTACAGAATAATTTCACACTTGTAACTAACACATGAATTTCCCGTTTTGGACAACTGATATTATTTACATTTACTCTTATGATTTCACTCTCTTTCGATATTGATATCGCTGTCGATGTATATAACGATATTTTTGAACGTCGATATGTATCAGTTTTTCGATATATCATATCATCCCTATAAAGAATTGTTTTTTTTTTTAGGTTATCTCGTTGTATGTCATGCTGTGGTCATGGGTAAATGGTTAAATAAATAAAGAAATTGGAATTCTTCTACAAATCTAACATTATTTTTAATTAAAAACCATTTGGGTCTTAATTTGAAACGAAAATGGACCCTAATATATATCAAAATGAGTACTTTAGTAGCTATGACGATTTGGAGGTTTGTTATTTAACGCGACAAAGGAGGCATACATAGAAAATGTTTAATGGGTTTAATTTGTAGTTGTTTTTTAGGTACATAGGTTAATGCTTGAGGATCATCCAAGAACTTTGGCATACAAAAATGCTATAATGAATAACAAATCTTATTTCAAAGATAAAATTGTTATGGATGTTGGTTGTGGTACTGGTATTCTTTCTATATTCTGCGCTCAAGCTGGTGCTAAAAAGGTTTATGCAGTAGAAGCTAGCAATGTCGGAAATTTGGCTAGAGAAATTATTAAAGAAAACAAATTTGAAGATGTTATTGAGGTATGTTTACAATATTTCATGACCACCAGTGCTCATTCAGTTAAATTAACAATACTTAAAAAAAAAAACAGGTTATTCATGGCAATGTGGAAGACATAATCTTACCTGACAATATCAAAGTGGATGCCATAGTATCAGAATGGATGGGATTCTATTTACTTCATGAAGGAATGTTGGACAGCATTTTAATAGCACGAGATAAATTTTTAAAGGTGAATGGAGAAATGTTTCCTGAGAGTGCTACCATTTATATTTCCCCATGTAGGTAAGAAGTTCATGGCAATGAATAGTTGTCAAAACTAATGTATTTAATATTGGTTATCAGCAACTTTTGTTTTTAAGTGTGCCTAGCCTTTACAAAAATTGGGAAGATTGCCATGGTGTTACCATGACATCTATGGCAAAACAACTGAGGGCATCCAAATACAACAAACCAGAGATTATGATCATAAAAGAAGAGGATATACTGGGCTTTGAAGAAGTGCCTTTATGTTGGATTAATCTGAAAGAGGACACAATATCTGAAGTTGATTCATTCAGCATTGAACATGTAGTTGGTGAGTTAAGTTTCTTTTTGAAGTAATATAAACACCAGCCTTCTCTTTATTATAATAAATTTATGGCCACCCAATCCAATGGCCAATCTTTCCAAACTTAATGGGCTAACCACTAAAGCTATTGAGTGATAAAGTAAAAATTCACCTTTTACTCTAAAGCCGTGTATCGACTGCGCGCGGCTGCCGCGCGAGCCATGTTCGACCGCGGCAAACCTGCGTTTTGGTGCGCGAGCCAATTTAAAGCTCACCTTTTCATATAGCGCGGCAGCCGCGCGCGGCAGGCGATCCGTGAACAAACATTCATTTTGTGCGCGGCAACCATGGACGTATCACGTCAGCGACGTGCAGCTGCGGCTTTTATCATCATATATCATATTATTCATAAGCGTTCGAGACGAGAACCTCGTTGGTGGATCAAAAAAAATATATATGAATAGTGTAGGGTTTTGTCCTACATCTATGGAAAGTTTGTTGTTCGAGGTAAACGACGTCACTGTTTTTATAGTTTATTTCACAAATGTTTAAAATAGTAAAAAGTTGTTATAAATGTTTGTTAGTTGGTGGCTTACGCTTAACTAACTCTAATAACAATTAAATTACATTATAGCGGAAAATGCTGATCCGCATAAATACGTACTTTGACTCGAGCCACTTATATTGTGCGGTTGCATAACCGTACAAATAGAATGCTACATGGTAGTTCACGATTAATGGAAGACATGAGATACGAAGCTATCGACGAAACAATCAAAAATTTCACACTAATGACAACAAATAAGTAAGGTTTTAAGCCATATAATCTAATCAAATGCCGACACTTCTTGTTATCCATCTTGCCGCGCGTCTCTAAGTAAAAGGTCCGCCCCAATTGCGCACGCGCAACACACTGACGCTCCTTTGCCGCGCCACCAAAAACCGACACGAACTGGTTCGCCGCGCGGCACGTTCGAGCGCGCCAATGTTCGAGCTGCCGCGCGCGGCGGAGCCGTCCCCATATTGCGCGGCCGCCGCGCGAGCCAGTGTTCGATGGTTTGCCGCGCGCAGTCGATACGCGGCTTAAAACCCACACAAAGTGTTGATCAGTAAATAAATCAGAATTTATGGGGGTCCTTTGTTTCAGGTGCCAAAAAAGATGGTATGTATCAGGGGCTGTGTCTATGGTTTGACTGTGTTTTTCCAGATTTAACAAAAAAAAATGAAAATGTAAGATTAGATACAGGACCTGACAGTCCCCCAACACATTGGAAACAAACTGTCATACTGTTGCCAGAAGAGCAATTGGTTGAGGTTGGTGATCCTATTGCCTTCCAATTAGATATGACAAGAGATGCTATCAACAGGAGAAGGTAATTTGAGAAGGCAATTACACATTACTATAGGCGAGAGAATTAATTACTTCAGAATGTCATAATTTAACAGATATTTTTGCTAAATAAACAAGATGTTGAATGAAGTAAGAACTGTTAATAGTTTATTTAGTAAAGTATCTACTAAGTTATGACATATTTTCTTCTTCATCATCTTACTTCTGTTAAAGGGTCATCCATAAATTACGTCACACTTTAGGAGAGGGGGGGGGGGGGTTAAAATCCGGAATATTGTGTAATGTAATTTATGAACGGCCCCTAACTATAGATATGGAGATTAGTTTATTTCTTGTTTGCATCTATATATTGTAAATAAACCCATATAAGTCCTTATTGAACACACTGTAAGTAATTATTATGTTATAAACAAAGTATGTTTTGAGTGAACAATTCAGTAATAAAACTACAAAATCTTATTTTTTCTAGGTACAATATACAAGTCTCACTTCTAGACCCTGATGAAGCTGAACATCCACTCCCATGTACTTGTGACCTAACAAAATGTTTGCTAATAAAAGCATACATGCAACAGCATCCCGAACCAGCTTCAAAAACAGAACAAATGGAAACAAATTGTCTACAGGAAGACCCTATTGATGACGATGATGTTTGAATAAAAAAGATTATTTTGTTATGAAGCAATTTATATGAATTAACGATAGTTTAAATTAAAAACCATAAAAAGTCTGATAACATTATTTACAAGTAGATTCATAGGGTTTTACCCTATCATGCACTGATTTTGTAGTACTTTATTTTTATTTTAACAATGTGTATAAGCAAAATCATAATAACCATACATATACTATTCACAAGATACAACAAATATAGTATATGTACTGTAAGGAGAAAAGATACTCTTTGATAAAAAGACTTTTTTCTAAGGTTAACCAAATCTTGCATATCACAATGAGGAAGTATTAAAAGAATGCACTAAAAAAGCACCTCCACTTAATGGCGACTCTAGCAAAAGTTTTTTTTGCAGGTAACGTATGGACCAAAGATAGTAATTTCCGTTCCTTTTAACTAACATATAAAACTGTGCAAAGTTCGAAACTTAAATATCAAGTACGAAAAAGTACAAACAGAATATGAGTTGTTTTCCACTGAGTTTTGAAAACTAATTTACTTTTATATATGAAAGAAAACTGGAAGGGTTGTCATGGAGAAATCAGGAAAGTACCGTAGCGACATCTAGGTTGATACTTCCTCATTACATCTCTGTTAATGTTTCAAGACATTGTCCTATAATATTAATATCGCAGCATATTAGTGACTGATTGCGTTAGCTGAGCTTCCCCGCTAAGCCACCGATTGTAATCTAATCTCATGAGTAACCTAGCCAGAAATACTCCGCAAGGACGGTCCCGCAAAGACACCAAAAGTTGCATTAGTTGTTTCACTAATTTGTTGAATCTGAAACAATAAATACTCTACATTGTCATTGAGATTATTCAGGGTATAATACGAGACACATGAATTGAACCAAAATGGCGACTGCATGCTACTTTTAGGGTCTCAATCGAGAAGCGGGGGTGAAACGCATCGTGTAACTATAACAACGCACCGAAACCCAAGCGAAAGATCTCCGTTTTGGTTCAATTTACGTGCCGCAAATCGTAGATTTTGACAAGTCTTCATATATGTTTATCTCTATAACAGTCTTATCGTTTCCATCTTTGTTCTTGCAAAATTGCATGTATTGACAAAAATGAAATGAAATTTAAATTAATAAATGTAAATGTTTCCATCAAATATAATAACTAAATTAAATTATTGTATTTGTTGTCACAAATACAATTATTTTATGGAAATGTTTACAGTAGTATTGTTTAAGAAGGTAACTATACTCTTAATTGAAAAGACAATCAAGAACTTAGAACCTGTAAAGGTTCCGCAACGTCAATAAAAGAAAAATCCCAACACAATGAAACATTTTAAATTTGATTCATTTATGGATATTTTACTAAACATAAGAAATCAATCAGTACAAGTTGTATTGACATGACAAAAAAATCCCCAGAAGTCGACGTCAAGCAGAGATTGGGAACAGTGTAATCATAATTATTCAATAATAGATTGATTTAAAAAATTGCAAACATTAAAAAATGTCGAGAATGAAGTGATCTTTGTAATCCTGTCGATATAATTATTGTTATAAAATACTGCCCCCTTACACTCTGGCCAAATGATTAAAGTTAACTGCTCCAGCTTGGAAGTAAATATATTTTTTTGCTGAACTAAAGACTCAAAGTTAATACTAAGCCCAGTTTTAACTGTCCATTAAAAAATGTACTAGGCAAAATTACCAAGTAACGTTAAAACTTTGGTAAGAATAAGAATTTCAAAATGGTATGGCTCTTTACAATTTCGAATGCGCCGACGTTTCGGCCGAGTTTTCACAATCGGCAAATCTCCAGAATACGCTTAATTTGCGGAAAAAAGACACCGTTAGGGCGCTTGTGCACTACACTGAATTTTCATGACCGGCGGTCCGATTTTTTCAGGTCCGATATGTCAGGTCATATGTAGGTAATGCGCGCATGTGCACTGTCAGGAATTTTACCGTCCGGAATTTTACTTTTCTCTATTCCGGACCGGTTTTTTCAGGTCCGGTGTCAATTAAGTGACACTCAATGTCTTTTTCGCATTTAATAAAATTTTAAATGAATATTTGTGTCATTAATAAATTTTAAAAAACGAAGTATTCTAAGGGAATAATATTTCTGCTCAAAGAAACTACACCACGTGTATAAAATTATGCCTATATATAATACAGTCAACTGATCTCGTCAAGTTCATTTAGCATAATAATTCTCAACTTACACGGCACTAATTTCGATTTGTTTACGAAATGGCGCCACCGATTGGTCCATCTCTGCAATCGCTGAAACATGTTTTTACAAAACTTCGAAAAAAAAAAATAGCACGTTTAAAAATTTAAACATCAAGTACTAGACCATTATCAGTAATTTTATTCTAATGTCACAGATATTTATAGCTATTGTATGTGTATAATGCTGTTCCTAAATTAGTAAGGGTATAAGTTTTTACATCAGATAATAGTCATCCGATAGTAGTAAAAAAATGCTTTCGTCTTGCCATAATTTATTATGGTTTATGTAAAACGATCAGATCATTATTTAGGTACCTTTCTACGTCTTCGAACGGAATTACCGACGTTCCAAAAATCTCATCGTACCTAGCGTAAGTGACGTGTAGCTTCAAAGAGAGCTGCCCTACACTGCGCCGCTCCGATCAGGAAAAAAACGGACAAATGCACAAGCTATTCATCCGGGTTTTTCATGTCATTCCGGACCGGAAAAAATCGGACCGCCAGACCTGAAAATTCAGTGTAGTGGACAAGCGCCCTTAGTGTAAATAAATCTCAACTTTTACACTCCTATTGGAGTGAGACGGACAAAGTAATTTACTGAAGTGTGAGCAATACAGATCTAGGGCAGATAAGTCGTTATTGAATTTCTACGATTTGTCTACTTTTGCTTGGATAATAGAATAACAGTATTGATAAATTTCACCTGTCAGAATATCCCCGAATGTAGTAGTCTTCGGTCTCCCTGTCCGAAGCTAATTCGCCCATACTACAAAAAGAATCGCACAATTTCAACAGCTCCATTATATTGCAGAACACTGGGTTGTTAATGGAGTCTGTTGTGTCACTGTGTTCGCTCTCATGCTGCTGCGAACAATAAATTAGAATTTAATATGATCTGCAGTAATGAAGTAACCCTAAAACAGTATTATTAAAATTTTTTGAATACACAACCCCTTTAAAGGCTAAAAATCTCTGGCGAACCTATTTAGCCCATAGAAAGACAAAAAAATATAATATAAGTGACTATATTTTTAACTTTCTTTATTCGGGTATATATTATTCATTCATCAACATCAGAATAACAGTTCGTCAACCCCCCCCCCCCCCCCCCCCTGACGTGTGACGTAATTTATGGATGGCCCCTTATTTCGTATTATTGTGTAAAATTTACTTACAGATATAGAAGTAACAGTCAAAAAAGACTGACTGAGAACATCAGCTAAGAAAGTAGCATGCGCTTTCTTCAATCGTTCAAAGTCGTTTGTCTTCGCCACAGCATCCATAAGACGAGAGAAGTTAGTTTCCAGCACATCGGCTTGTAGGTAGTGCTGGAGATTGTCCATAAGGAACATCAATTTGTTGTGCAGTTGACACATGGAGAAACTATAAGTCAAAATTATATATGGTGTGAAAAAAACTTACAATATATCCAATATATGCGAAAACATGTAAACAAACGATCCAATATATGCGAAAACATGTAAATGGTGTGTATTCTATCGAATTTCACTGTTTTTCGAAAAATATACCTATATATTATAACTTATTCACCTGGTCGAGTGTTTGTAGGCCTTCCATAGCGCATGCAAATCATGCTGAGTTTTCTTGATACGTAAGAGCAATCTGAACATATCGTTATAACGCGCTAGCACCTCAGGAGTAAACACTAGATGCAACGGCCACTTGAAATCATATTTCAGGACAATACTCGACCAACCGTCAGCCACTGTAAGATGTTATACAATGCTTTTAAACAAAACAAATTATATACTTTTGATATTTATTTACAGGTCACAACCAAGAAACGATTTTCCTTCACAAGTTTCGAACTTATCATGTTCGAATGTATGGCTTTGAGTACTGCTTACTTGATTATCAGACTAATATACGAATGGTCTGATTTAAGTAAGTTTCGTTGGCGATTAGCTTCCATGCATTCTAAAATGGCATATACTTTTGAATCTCGGTATTTCACCATTATTCGACATCCTACATTATTTTGGAGGAAGCCTACAAAAAGCTTTGCAGAGGCTGTGTGCTTCTGACCATTCCTCTCTGCGTATTTTGAAAGTTACAAAGCGGAGCTTTGACGTGATTTATTAAAAGTAAATTATTATCCGATAACTTTTTTGGAGCCCGTATAATTTGCCACGAGCCTTTGATAGTATAGTTACACCACTGAATAGATATCAGCACAAACATTATACTCGGTGGAACAGAACGACCGAAACTCCCGAGGTTCCCAGAGAGTACTATTTGTCTTTAATATGATGTAAAAAAAATATAAGTCTAGGTCAAATAGTTTCGGAGATATTAAAATAGAAAGTTTTTGAAAAAAAATGAGTTGGGACGTACTAAGGAAAAGATTTTTATCGGTCATTAACTTCTTCATTTCTAAAAACGAAATAAACTAGTTTGTCATTTATAAGACTGCTTTCATGCAAATTATTCCAGACAATCAATAAACAAGGCAGTCAAAATGCTTAAATCGATTTACAGACTAACAGCCGGTTTCTAATTTGAAAGTAGAAAATTTCTACTGCTTATTCTCAATAACCTAAGTTTTTTTTTAATTTCACAAGTCAAATAGTTCTAGTTTTATCAATTTTATCAAACTGCTATCAACTGATCATCAAAAAACTAAAATCGAAAACAAACACTAAGTGATGTTAGTTTGAGACCTTTAACTTTAAATTCTCAATTAAGAAACCGAGTGTAAAATTTCCTAAATTATTGTAGAGAGATCAGTCTAACATTAACCTACGTTATTTTAAAAGAGCAGTTCTCCAAAAAAAATGTTTGAATGGGGTAATACTACTTTAACAACGGGATCGTTAATTAAACTCGATAAACTCACAAATTTTCCAGCGATTCATCATTAACACAAATGAACTTTGTTTTAAAAACATTGAGGAATTTGTTATTAAAATAGCATTTAAAAAGAACATTAAAAAATGCGTGATATCAAAAGACGAATAAAAAAAAAACGAGTTCGTCCCTCGATATCAAAGCCCCACCCACCACCCAGCCGCCAGGTGGCTTCATTATTCTGTCGGTATTTTCTGGCCGCTCAGTCGCCACCGACCTTTTGCGCTGGAGTGTTGTTGCGCATCGCCGCCGACGCACCGCTGCGATTTTTATTTTGTTCTAGTGCATTTTTAATTGAATTTTTGTTAATAAGATACTAGAGTGTTTGTCTTGAGTGTTAAGTTTAGTTTAGTGAAGATTGTGTTTAGTTTTGTGTGAAATGTGATGTGTTTTGCGCGTGCATACACTGACATGCAAAAGAGCGTGCTTAGCTGTCTTCAGAGAAGAATTGAACATTTTCAGCATCGACTATCATTAAGATATCGGTAAATAATTAAATTAAAGTATTTCGCGGTCCGTTGTAATCTGCGCACAATCGATATGGCGCATGCGCGTTAAAGGGCTGTCAACACATATAAATTTAAAATTTTTACTCCATTTTTACACCTCCTCTATTTTGAAATATTTGTCAAATAAAATGAACGTTTGCACGTAACCTAACCTGAAACTTTCGGCTGTGTCGGTCATTTTGTTCCTCCCTGTATAGCAAAAGTACCTTGGATTATCTATGATTTTTTTCTATTTCATTTTTATCTTTAATACGTTGAGTGATAGAGTTCAAAATCCAGAAAGCAGAAAGACAATGTGGTAATCTGACGTGCTGTTGTGTAACCATAATTTGCGTTTGCGTGAACACATACCTGTCACATGTTTATAGGTAACTAAAGGTAAATAAGATATATCGCATCTCAACACATACCTGTGCTACTATCATCTTCAATTGAGGAGTTTCCAGAAATATTTGGTTTGACATAAGGTAATTCAAAATTGAACTTTTCTATATCAGTACTGTTGCTTAAGAAAACTGCTCTAGCGGCAAGCTGAAATGCATGATTCATATCTGAAAAATTTAATTTGATTAAAATAGCTGTATTTGGTTGGAAGAATGCTATGGTAACACGTATATGTGGACGTATTTATAACCTAAACCAAAACGCATTAATATATATACTACTACAGTATATCATCTGATTATTAGGGAAAGTATAAGAGATTTCATTAAGTAACTGGACTCTAGCACAATATCAGATAAATAACTCATTAACTTTGAATGAAAAAAAATTGAATGTACCTCTGGTAGCAGTTCTATTGGTGGGCTTGTCCAGTATATGTGAGGTCAGTCTCAATAATTCTAGAAATAACTCTCCACGGCCTAAGAGATAGAAATCTTTCATCAGTTGAAGCTCATGTAGTAAATGAGCCTCCTCTACAGCAACTACCCATAGATGCTAAAACCAAACAATTTTTATGTAGGCAACCTGTTTTATTAAACGAATGTGGAAAAGATTTGAAAAAGATCTTACTTTGGTTACACATTCCTTAATATCTCTAATGACGCAACGTAAATTAGCAACTTCAAAAACTTCGGGATTTTTCAATGTTTGTAACTTATTGTGAAATTCTGCTTCTTTTTCTTCCCAAATTGTAAATCTGTAGTAGTAAATAATGGTTGCTGGGTAATTTTACTTCATTTATATTATGCCTTTTTGTATGTTCATAATACCCGATACCTATTTGGTCAAATGAAATGCGGCTGTACGTTAAACTACTACAGTATGTCAAATGTACTCATACAATTTAAGCTTTACCTACAATGCATTAAGGTTTAAAATCAAGTGGAGTTTGTCTGTTTTGTATAGCTTGACTTGCCGTTGACTGTTAGTCCAGTTAAGAATCAAATAAAAAACCTGTAAGTTAGACAAAATTAGTGTAGAGATGAAAATTGGTATTGATGTTTAATAATCCTTTATTAATGAAATGTTAAAAACCCCCATTGATTGTACTTCTGCAAAAAAAAAAACAAATATTGATCCCATTCTCTGAAAGCATAAGTATTATCATAAAAATAGGTTAGACAAAAGTTGTAGATCCTACAATTCTCTACAAAAATTGTTCTAATACTTTTTTCGTATGAATCAAAATTGTTTCTTTTTCAATCTCAATATCTCATAAATGGTGCGGATCACAGAATACGGAAAAGAGGTTAGAAAGGCGATCATGCATCCTTTGTACGAAAACCGATGTCGCCAGTCTTGCCCCACTTTTAGTCCGCCGTACATCAGACGAAATATTAGACCAATTATACAAAAGAAAAGCACACACTTGCATTTTAAACATGCCAATCAGAACGCTCCAATATTACTATATCCAATCACGTTCAACCATAACAGGCATCTATAATGCGTAATAAACGTGTAAAAGCCATTTTAATTTGCCATATCACACGAGTGATTGACATGAAGTTATTTACTATCGATATTAAAAAAACAAGTCGATTAATTGAAAGGATACTAGAGTAATGATTTCTTTATATTATTTTGGATATACATTAAATTGTATTGATTAAATGTGACATTATCTTTTTTTAGATATTAATTGTTAATTAGTTGGTTGATTCAATAGGGAATAATTAAATTACTAATTAATTACTAATGAACTAACATTGAATCTGTACTAGTCGAGGTTAAATAGTTATTTGCATATAAATATGTTTGTTTATTAATAATAATAGTAGGTAACTTTTTTTACGTTACGTTACTCGATTTCGTATCAAGTAAACATAAGATCGGCAACATCGCTTATATGAAACTAGTAATATTGACAAACAATATAATGTAAATAAATATATACAAAATAAAAAAATACAATTAGTACAATAGATGCTATTGGAACTTAACCAGGACGGTTTCCGATGATTTAAAAAGTATTGTTGTTAATGGTTCAAATAAAAATAAAACTAATTTTCTGTTACAATATTAAAAATATAAAAACAGACTTATTACCACAGTCATTATTAAATTAATATACAAACGCATACCAAACGAAGTTAATATAGTAGTCAAAAATAGGGTTACATTTTATTTATTGCTATTGTTAATCTCTGATTAAATTTATTTTTTATTACCACTATTTTTATCGTCCATACTTTTATTTAGTTTTAGCTAACACACCAAGAATCGATTAAATGTTTCCAGGCACTTCACTACTAATCTATTATGTTGCTATTTAAAACGGTGATATCGCGATGTTCTTTACATTATGTGCTTAGTACGACGCAATGTAATAAATATGGGCACTTCTCCAACAATGTATATTTTCTTGAAATTTTTTTTGTGATTCACACTTTTGATAACATTTCACGAATTTCGACTAAAAATACTAAATTTGAGAAGTGTTCTACTTACTAATGGAAAGAAATCCTTCCTTTGGACCTACTTGAGGGTGGGCTTCTTGTTTTTCAATTAATAACTGCGCAAGTCGGCATTTTTAACACTTTTAGTAGCGTGTTTCACAGTACTCGCACAGCGCTCGCGTTCGTTAATTACTAAACATCGCGATCGCGTGGTGAAGTCACGATCCTGTACATTTGTCCAGCATCGTGGCTACAAGGCCACGCCCACAAGGCCTTTCTAACGTCTTTATATGTTCTGTGGTGCGGATGAATGGAGATACGAAAGAAAAAAGTATTAGATTTTTTTGTAGAGAATTGTATGGTCTACAATTTTGGTCTAACCTATTTTTATGATCATACTTACCATTTCAAAGAAAAATGGGAAATACCTGAATAGAACCAGGATCAATGGGGATTTTTGACATAACATTGGTAATGGTTTATTGAACGTCTATACCAATTTTCAGCTCTATGCAGAATTTTGTCTAACTTACATTTTTATATGAGTGGACTATGCACGGTGTGGAAAGAACAATTTTGTACAATGGCGCATGTTACTCTATAGTAATAAATAGTTGATATTTAGTAAAAATATATTGTGTTGGTAGTGCCACTTTTTTTTCAACACACTATCAAGCTTCGTATACACACCTTCTAGAATCAACTCCACACCTCTGCAAAGGTAACACTCCCCTTGATATGAAACATTGACTTCTCTTGGCCTTCTTAGGATCAAAACTAAAGAGGATTACAGTCTTTCCAATAAATAATATCTCCTGTGCCAGTGAAAGTGGCATAAAATATGGTATCATATTCGAAGTAAGATGATATCCACAATCCATTGTAGTATCTTGAAGCTGAAATTATTTCATAAAAATTAATAAATACAAATATTTTATACTATTGTTATATGAAATCAACTCTCTCTTTTAGGGGGCCGGGGGAGGGGAGGGTAGTTCCTTTATCTCGTGCTTAATATTATATTATAAGCATCAATGGACTAGAAAAGAAAAGGTCACTAAAGTGTCATAGATTATTCTAACAAGCAAGCAATTTTTACAATTTTATGGTGATATTTAATTACTATTGCAATACAAAAATTCACAATCATACAGTATTTAGCATGGTTAATATTTAAAAGGATACTACTAAAAGTCAAATATACATACGGTTGATACTAATGATTTATCACATGTATTAGATGAAGGCGATGAGAGAAATGTATCAGAACATTCATTTTTTTCATTCCGATAAATAAAGAACTCTAGACATGGATCTTTTAACTCTCCATATAGTAACCAAGTGCACAGTTGATTGACGAATACTTTATTCACACATGAGAATATTCTGAAAATGACAAATCACAACCAAATCATCAATCAAACAACATTATTGTAATTAATAAATCTAAAAGATTATGTTGGTGTGTGATACACAATAATTGTATAATATGCTCTAAAATACAGATTAGGAAAGAAATACAATAATTATCAAGATTAATAACAAAAGAATTATATGTATGAGTTGAAACCAAAATTAAATATTAAAAATACAAAGCTTTATATTTTCATACCTGACAACAGCTTCATGAACCATTTCATTACCATTAAGAATATATTGATGAATTAAACTCAAGATCTGGCATCCTACAAGTCGTCTCTGTTTAATTGTTGTTAATATTTTATTCAATGTATTAAATAATCCCCTAAACTTCTCAACATAGCTGTACACAAATGACAGTGTGTAATTGTGGTTTCCAATAACAAGACTTTCAACTTCTATCAAAGTCTTTTTGTATGATTGAAGTACCTCTGTCATACCTTCACCCAGAGCTTGTGCATATAATCCATAGGGTTTCACTCCTGATGCCAAATAATATACATTGTATTAGAAAGAAATGAAGATTTATAAAGTATATTAGGCGCCTAATTAGCAAGGTTGCTCAAATGGCAGATTTTATAACACTGACAAAATACTTTCTTAAGCAGAATCATTCAATTTGGTGGGAATTTTAAAACATGCTCAGGGTCATTTAAAATTCTTTCTATGTTTTGAGCAACCTAAATAGAGACAATCCTTATATATTGTTAAATATAATTTTTATAATAAATATTACAAATGACCGAGATAACTATAATGTTTTTATTACAAATGTGATACAAAATTTAACAATCACTGTTCTATTAATGCCAACCTTTAATTTACATACAAAATTAATTATTTTGAAAAGAAACAAATAAATGAAGGATCCACAAGACAGACAGGCTTTTAAAAAAATAATCTAGTCTTTTTATAATTACCATTCTGCGATTTTCTACTATGGAATCCGGTAGATTCAATGAAATTTTCTATTTTTTGGTGAGATTTTGCTATGTCACATATTCGATTATAAATTTCAATATCACCCTGTTCAGCGAAATTCATGTCCTTTTTCTGAAATTTCAGAGTAGTTTAGCAAAGAGAATTTAAACACTAGGTTTTAGTTCATCAATGCGACTAGAAACCGAGATTTTGCATATTTATGTAGTTACCCACATTCTCACTATCGTCCAATCCCGAAGCATTCCATAAAATTATCAAGGCGTCGTGTATCATTTTGGAATAAATTAGGTTTTTTAGTAAGACAATACAACTCTTATCGCATTGAGCAAAGTTGTAATAATTTCATAATTTTCAAAACAACTTGAGCAAACCACAGAGTAAACTCAAAATCAGAGGCATAGATTTTCTTTTTAATTAATGGCGTTGCCCTTGTGGATTTCGCTGGAATCCTTTATTTCGCTCTGATTATTTCATATTTTAGTATTTTATACACTCTGCTTTCTGTATGTTGGTAGTGAAAGCCCTAGTTAAATAGGGTATTTTGACACTAGAGGTGGAAATAACTGCTTAAAATTTTTAAGCGTTGATACGTTGTACGATTTTTAATAAGCGTTTTTAAAAAAAACTGCTTATTGCATAAACGCTTTAGATAATATTCGAAGCACAAAACACTTATTAGACAAATAGTGGACAAGTAAAGGGAAAACATTAAACATTAACCTAAAATTTGAACCTATGATGAAACCGTGGTTCCGTAAAATTAAGATCAGTAAGACTGCTACTAGTATACGCTTGAGATGTGATTGTGATGCTTCCTGTAGGTGTGGGGCGGACCACTGTGATCTTAACCACACATTGATTTCTTGTAGACTATACAATCGATCCAAATTCCTAAAAGATCTCATATCCTTACACACAGCCATAGTTTTTTTGCTCTTGTCTAATAACATATCAGTCTAATAACGTACCATTATTGCTTTGTATGTATGTTATATAACATACATCATATTAATATTTTCGTATATTTATATAATGAAATTTTTTCGTTTCCTGATCCTATTGCCAATAACCTATCGTAAACCCAGTGGTGTAACTACAGGGTAGCAAGTTGACAAAATGCCACGGGCCTCCAGCTAGAAGGACCCCGGGTCATATGAGAATCCTTACTCCCGACATAAAAAAAAGTTTGTAATACCCATAAACCTTACCTTAACCAAAAGACTTCCACTTTACTTCGGTCTATATCTTTATAAAAAAATAAAAGCTAGTGTGTCTATCTATAATATAAATGAGGAAGTATTTTAAGAAAAAAAAAGAAAACACTAAAAGCACCTCACTAAATGGCGACTCTACCAAAAGTTGATTTTGCAAGAAACGAACAGACCAAAGATAGTCATTTCCGTTCCTTTTAAGTAACTTAGATATCAATACGTATAAATAGAATACGAGTATAACACGAATTTTGAAAATTAATTTACTTTTATACATGAAATAAAACCGGAAGGGTTGTCATGGGGGAAACTAGAAAGTACCGTAGCGACATCTAGTTTGATTTCGGGAACTAATATATTTTTTATACTTCCTTATTGCACCGCGCTCCAAATAATGCGGCTTCGAACCACAAGTAAAGAGCCTTAGGATATGGTGGTCAGGCATTATAAATACACAGTAGATGCTCCTAATTCATGGCTTCCTCATTCGCGTTTTCATTATGTTCGAGCACGTGACAAGGGGGCTTTTATAACGTCTTGGAATTTTTGCTTTCTTTGTAGCATACATATAATACTTTGAAAAAGCTATATTATGAATGCTACAGCTACTTACTTATGAATCTGAATTTAAAGATCTTTAAAAACTGCTTATAAAAATAATTAAAAAAAAATTAAAGTTGACAATTAAAGATTTATTCTAAATAGTAGTTCCTTGATAATTTTACTTCAATTGTATTTATTTTAACATACATATTGCTTTTATTTTAGAACCTTGGAATGTATCCCCTATAACTCTTATGCGAAATGCCATTCCGTATTCGTGTTTTCTATATACACGCCACATTATAGAAACCTATCCCCCGTGAACTAATCCACATATTCTAAAAAGAGTTTAGGGCAATGTCTTATCATAACAGAAAATTTTGTTTACACATTTTACTAAATTCCTATACTTAATTTGTTTATTATTATATTTATTTTTTTGTATAATAAATCAATGCAGTACAAATATTCTGATAAACATTTATTTTTAAATTCAATATTAAATTAATGATCATTAAATAGTAGTAAAAATTGTTTTATGAAGTTCCTAAGTCCAATTTTACAGTCAATAATTCATAACGAATTAAATTTAATTTAGTTTGTTGGAATAATTTTTAAACCCTTTCACAGTGACGACTGCATACAACTATTATTTCTGCTTCACATATAGACCCCCAACTGCTAAGATATTTTTGTCTCATTTTCTAATTTTTCGGAAAACTGTAATAATACTTTGCTATCTTGTAACAGGTATGTGGACGATGACACATCATTTACATATTGCAAGACTTCATGATAAACATAGTTGTTAGATTTACAATGTTGTTATTTTTATTTTAATCGTGAAAATACATATTGTAACTACTACAAGATTCGCTCATTGAACAAGGACTGCTGGGTCGGCGAAAAAAAACAAGAACCTTGAGGATTTTTTTATTTTCAAGTTGCCTCACTTTCAGCATGAATTGAAAGGAAACTTAACAAGAAAAATATTATATTATGGTAAAACAGAACAACATACCGATTACAATATGAAGATATGTATTTTATTAGGTAACGTGACGTACATTGGCGGGCATTATCGCTCGGTCATTTAAGAAAATTTTCGTTTGAGCAGGTTTAAACGTTAAGTTGAAGCTAAAATGCTGCAATCCAAACGAATGCATCGACAGTGGAGTCTCTGTCTGGCAAATCAGATGGAATAGCTACTCAAGAAATTCTGGATGAAAAATCCCTAAGAACAAATATCACTATATAGTTGGAACAAGAGCATCGTAACGTAGCGTTTAACGTTTGATTACTGTGTTTGTTTGTTTTAAAATAATCGAATAATTATTTTAAGAGTGTCCACTTATGTCAAACAAAACAAAATTAAAAGAGTTGTTGATTTGAGTTGGTGTTCGTCTTCGTCAAAAAAAAAAAAAATTCCCGAGAAATTAAACCGATTGAACACTACGTTCCATTCTAATGCTGCCAACTTAACAATCTCAAACATAAATGCACTGTTGAAATCACAAACTAACAAGGAGATTACACAGACAGAGATTGGTTAAAATGTATAAGAAATTACTTAATTAAAAATACCAAATAATTATGAGTAAATGATGTCTAACATGAAAAGAGTAAAAGTGTATCTAATATGTCACTGATAAGTAGAAAATTAGGAAACAAATAGCCTTGATAATAATTATTACTGTCTTTTTGTCATAATTTAATATAATTGAAATTACTGTTAATGAAATAAAAAAAATACAAGTGTTTCCACTGAGGCTATTTGAGTTTAAATTATTGATCAACGATATTTTTTTGTAATGGCAAGATAAAAGAACGAGACATGCGGCCTCCATTGTGGCAGTCTTTTTCGGTTCTTATCTTTTGTAAAAAAGGCAATAGGGTATTTGACACTATCGAAAATAAGTTTCATTTTGCGGTCATCCTGATAGATAATAATCTAATAAAGCTTATTTCTTAACATCGGCAGAAAAACCATGTTGAGATTTAGTAAAATAACGTAAAGAAAATGCAATATTTTTAGGAATTTATTCAACGACGAAAACGTCCTATAATTGGTCGTCGACACAACCAATCAGGATTCTGTTTACTGGCCTGTGACGTCATCAGCTGTCAAAGTAGTGTTAGAGAGATACATAAAATATCGATGCCTGTAGGTATCGAGTACTTTATAGTAATTTACTGATAACAGAATACTTTGCCGCTTCTACTGATAAGAACTGCCAAAAAGAAATACAGAAAAAAAGAATAATTGACTAAGCTTTTTAAAAAATCCAAGAAATAGGGAAAACGCCTACAATTTAAAAAAAGGGCAACTTACATGTTTTTCTGATTTCTTGAATTTTACTATAATAATTCAAAATTACAAAGTCGATTTTGATGATATATAGTGTTCTCCAAGTTAAAAACTAATTTAAAAAAATCATCGGTTTCTGATATGTAATTATCAAATGCCATGCATTTAGTGGACAGACATACTACATGCATGTATAAAAAAAATAGAATATTCTTTTTCGTACTAATGTCTCATCCATCTGTAGGTCGACAGGCTGTAAAGTGCGAGCCCTGTCAACAAATATAAATGAGTCGTAAAATGTTAATGACAAAGAAAAACACCAAAAAGAAAACCTTCAAATGTATCGATACGAAATAAAAAAGTTTCAACACATTTAGCGAATCCTTTCCTAATTTTACCACCCATCTCTACTCTATATAGCTACTATACAATTGTGATTGTGAATCTATTTTCTTCTAGACTAGAAGTTTGTTTGTTATTTATAGAAGTATTAGTACATTGTGGCACTACGCACCACTTGTAGCTCACTTTTTAAAGAAAACCAGAGTAGAGGAAAATAATAAACGTAAAAAATACGCACTACGACCTCAATTTCTCTTTTAAATTATTGTTTCAATTTACTCTAGAGATGTCGATATTCATCGATGTTGAATAAACATCGATATTTTAAATTGGATAACATCGGCACATCGATGTTTTCGTGCCAAACATCGAGTTTATGAAAAAATGACAAGATTTAGGCCGTCTAACGTGCTCCAGATGTACTAGCTAGATGATCTCGTATATCAAGTTCAACTATTTTATATTAGATGTCACCGGTTGCACTCGTAACTGGAGTACGCAAACAAATATTTTTTTCTTTGCTTGCATTTTCCTAGGAAATTAGAAATAAATCTGTCAACTTCAGCGCTCGTTGGTATCTTATAAGTTACTTTATTCACCGGTCTTAGTTTCAAAGATTCGTATATAAGATAGTTCCACGTGCGTCATTTATGAAAAAGGTCATTTATGTATATAAATAAAGTTACTTTATGCTCGTTGGGCTCGTTCTCTCTCCGTGAAAGTCCCGCGTGATTTTTTTAGACACTTGTCTTATTCCATTACTTTTATTTTAAAGGATAGAATCCACTTATCCCACATTAAAAAAGATTGCATTTAAATATTTATGTTGCACAGCGACTTCCACGGTTTCAGAGACGCTTTTTTCTAAAGCTGGTCAATTCCTTTAACAGCAACGCAATCAATGTCTGGGGAACATCGATGGTTTTCATCGAATGTTGACTTCGATGTCAATATCGATGTTTTTCCAATATCGATCATCCTTAATTTACTCTAAAGACAGTTGTTACTTTTTTTTTTCTTAATGTGGCAGGCACGGCTTGTGCATTTTGCCAATGTCAAGTAAAATAGTTGTTACTTATCGATTTGACATATTTACTGGCCTGTGACGTCACGATCAGCGCCATTACATAGAGCAGCGTTTTTCGCGCGGTTTTGGCTATATAAATTTTAACAATTATTTTCACCAAAAATAGAAAAGATTCCAATGAAATATTATGACAGTGTGTTTATAATGTAGCAAATAACGATTTAAAATAGTTTTCTGAAAAGTGTCAAATACCCTATTAAAAGTACATTTAAACTTATAGCATTAAAGTTCATTTTAGTAATGGCAATTTTTCAGAGTTTTAAAGTCCTGTGATATTAGTACTACGTTCATGCTTTTGTCATAGAAATAGGATCTATAATAAAAACATATCGCTCATTCGCATGTAACATAACTTTAAAACTAAAATAAAAAATTACTGTTCAAGAAACTTTAATTAATTTTCGACAAACTAAAGAAACTTTAATTAATTAATTCAACCTTATTTTCAAACTGTATGTTGTGTTACAGTGGTTTAGGGAAAACCACACAACAAGCTGACGGTAATGGTGACTTTTAAAATGAATTTGTAAAATAATTATGTACTAATTTTTGCTTTGACCAATCGGTTGGGGAATTAAATTTCAACCAACTAATAAAACTGCCGAACATGAACCAAGAAACCTCACATGGAAACTTGTATATTACTCTGTCTTGTTGTGATGGATTTATACTATAATAATCGATTCTTCAATCGTTCGTTCATTCTTTGCATTATCTGCCTACTTCCTTCTTGGTCTGTGCTATCTGCCAAATGTTGCGTTGCGCCTGCGCCGGATTATTCAATCTGTTTCTCATTGGTTAGTTTATAACTGTAAGCATCCGAACTGCGGCGTCTTAATATTTTTTTATTATCATACTTGTATGTAATGTAAGCGTTATCGCATATTGTCATCTATACTAAGAATTTTAGTTTTCTTTGAATGAAAAGATGCATAAATTGTGAAATGGCAGAAGTATGTAGATTAGGAAATAAGAAAGTCGAAAATAAATTTACCAATTCACACGAAAATGATAACTTTTGTGTATTAAATGTGTTGTGTGTGTTTATAGCTCTTGTAACCATACTCGCTGATTTAACGACAGGTGAGTAGCTGTTTTTTGTAATATGTGCATCGACTCGTATTTATTGCTAAATTACGCATTTATAAACTAGTAATAATAATAATTAAGACAATTTTTTTCAAACATTTAAAGAAATATTTTTGTTTCAGATATTTTGGTTTTTGCAGAATATTGTAATGCTGGTTATTTGTATTGGGCATCACCCACTCTAATGTTAATATTTGCTCCAAATATAATTACAAATATATTTTCGATGCGATGGTATATAAATGATAGCCATGCGAAGCCTACTTTAAGAAATTGGATTACACATCTATTCCTTGTAGGAATTCTGGACAGGTAATTTGGTTTTAAAATTACCAGTTAATTGTAGATTGTTACCGATATTATTTAATGCATGGTTTCATATTTTTATGCATTTAATATGCATTTAGATTTTTTCTGGGTATTCACTATATTTTTTCCAGATATGTAATTTTCTTACACAAGGTATTCTCCTGTAGCATGTTTGAATCATGTCAAACACAGAAATTTATAACACAGCGGAATGATTTAAGTCTATTACACTTTTTACATATATTTACGGGGACTGTTCCTCAAGTAATTTTACAGTCTTATGCCATAATAGTCATCAATGGTAACTACTACACAAAAGGTATTCATTATTATTATTCTCATAATTATAGATATTAAAAATCAGTCATTATACATATAAGTTGTTTTTTTTCCAGTTTTTGCATTGGCTGCATCAATTGCATCAATAATTTGTGGATGCAGTAATTATATTTATAGTATAGGTACATTCAATAATCAAAATGGTCACTGGAAATCTTTGCTGTTAAAATATTTATGGCATTTTAGTATGTTACTTGGGAGGATACCAAGTATTCTTATGAGTGCTATAATTTTTGGTCTATGGAGCTTAGTACCCTTAGGTAAGGCATGAGCTATTTTGAAATAATGCGGTTTTGATAAAGTAGATGGTTTTCAATTTTATTATTTATACTACAGTAAATTTTGTTTTGTCTCATATTTTCATAGGCATATTCTATTTCCAGGTTTACATTGGACTGCTATGACCTTCTGGATCATAATTCAGAAAACAACATTTTGTCATAACAAATTAGAGGAAACTCTTTATAACGTTGTAATGGGATTTGTGTATTATTTTTGTTATATCAATTTAAAAGAAGGTGCTACAAGATACCGACTGCTTATTTTTTACAGTTTAATTGTAACTGAAAATTTTGGGAGCTTAACTTTATACTATTTGTTTTCAAATTATGAGCAGCAAAAAAAAACTTGGTCTATAGTGGCCACAGCATTTGTGATTACAGGAACTTTAATCGGTACATCTTTATTTACCTAATTTTCTTTAATTTATTTTATTATTCATATAAAACTTGTATTATAATTACGTTTTTTATTATTTTGATAGGGATATTGTCAATGATTTTATACTACAGATACTTTCATTATAATGGTCCGTTATTGTGGAAAAAGAGTAACAATGAACTAGAGTTGAATAATAAGGCTGATATAGAACATGGCCCTAGTAATGTGGAGGTGGATATAAAATCTGGCAACATAAGAACATTTAAAGATGTACAAAAAGATGATAAAAAAGAAAGGTATGATATTGATTAAAAATCTTTACCACATCAGGCAAAGATATATTCGAAGTCAGCGGCAAGAAGAATGACGATACATAGAAAATGTTATATAAAAAACATATTGTATAGTTTTATATAGGAATTTTGACTTCTCAAACTCAAGTTGCTTCTATCTCTCTTCTACCGGTATTGAACTTGTCGTTGACTTTGAAAATGCTATCTTGGAGTATGCTTGTTTAATTATAATCACCAGATAAGTCAATGTTTATTTATCTTTTTAAAAACGATTTGATTTTTTCTTTTAAAGGGAAGGACCTTCTGCCCAAAATCAAACATCTAAAAGCGATACACAAAATGCCGATAAGAAATTTTTATTAGATCATTGGATTGCAAGAGCTGCAACCCCAACGTTTTCTTCAGTTCCCATTGGAAATGATAGCATGGACGTCTCAAATATAGAATTTTATACCGTTGAGAATACACCACAAAGTACTTCATGTACGGAAAATTTGGAACTTTGCGGAAGTAGGAAAAGGGTTCTAAATAATTATAAAACTCGGCAAATTTGTGTGCCTACTGAATTGGCATTAAAGTTATCGTCAATGGATACCTTAGAAAGTTCAATAGATGAAATAACATGTAATAATATCAATATGCAAAAAAGACGCGGTATTTGTTCCTCTGATGAATTAAGAGATGATTTACCAAATATGGTAGATATAGATGTTGTGAACAGAAATTTTATGAAGAATATTAAGGGTGATCTTTGCTCAGAAATCAGCCATGATACAGATGGTTCTAACAAGAAAACTTCTTCAGACTCTATTGATATGGATTTGGATTTGAGTTTTAGTGATATAAATAGTTCTGATATAAATACTTTTAACGAAAATATTGTCCAAAAATTATGCCTTAGTGCTCTTAAAAACATTAAAGTGGGAAATCAAGATGCTGATATAGAAAACATCCAGAGAATAGCATTAGATATATTAAAAGAAATGTATACTAAAAAAGGTAAAGGAAAATGTCTGTTAAATACCGATTCTTTTGTATCGAAGCAACGAGATTTGGACACACCAACAGAAATTCTTTCAGTTCATGATTATGAAAACATATGTGCAGTAAATATAGCAAGGGAAGCGTGGGGCTTGAGATCATGGAATGGATACTCTGATATTGAGAATTGGTTGCATGATGGTAGCGTTGTAAGAGACAGAAGACGTGATACACTTACTTCAGGAAGTTCGGAAATAAGTAGTTGTTTGTCTCAAGAACTAAAAAATGCTATAATATCGGCGCCGCCATTTCTTAAAAAAGCTCCAACTTATTCTAATGTTTTTGTTAGGTTTGAAAGAACAAATCAAGAGGATTACGTTAATACTCCTATCTATAGTTCTAACGATGATACATTTTTAGCAAAACCTTGTTTAGTAGATGTAATGAAAGACTCAAACTTTTTGGAACCAATAATTGAAGAACTTGATGACTTAGGAGATAAAGATCTACCGATTAAAAAGAGATTAAATTCAGAAAGCTCTCTGGTCGCCACAATCGATGAAATAAGGAAAGTAACCGTTAACAATTCCCCAAGGAATGTCTATAACAGGAGAACCCGCTTTTGCGATTCGCCTTTTTTAAGTCCTACGGATTCAAATTTAAAAATGGCGCTATGGAAAGAACCTTCCAAATTTGATTCTAGTAACATAATGGTATCACAACCCGAAAAAGAAAATAGTATGAGTGTTTCACGTGGCTTTAAATTTGAATTGCCTAAAAAAGACCGCAATGAATCAAATTCAGACGACATGAACTATACTCAAATGTGTTCATTTTATACCCGGAACATGAAACTGCAACCGAGAATTTTAGAAAATTCTACAAAAACAAGTATGAATAATAAAACTGAACAGAATTTTCAAGATATTTCTAATAGAGACATAGATTTGCTATGGCAAATAGTGTCTGAAAATTCAGTTCCACATAGTTCGGCCGAAGATTTGAGTTCAAATCGTATTACTTCCTCCCTTCAGTCATTAATACAAAAGGATGTATGTGCCAATGAAACTTCTGAAAATGTCACTAAGATAATAAATACAAAAAAAGTACCAAGAAATCGTCCAAGGAGAAAGTTTTCAATTTTGAGGGAAAAGTTTGAACCCAGAGTTAATATGAATTCAGACGAAGAAATTCTATGTCGTCATTCTGAAAGTACAAACCATCACCCTGACGTTATAGTAAATGTTAAAAATAAGTTTGAAACAATAGATAAACAAGGTCCAAAAAATTACAAACTGGAAACAAAAAGTTTAAATAAAACTAAATAACTCATAATTAACAATATTCATAAAAATTATTACCGTATAAAAAGTAAGGCGAGCATTTTTATAGGTTACTCATGAGATGACGTAGGAATTTTTCTTTATAAAAGATTTCTCATTACTCTTAATACTAATAGCAGAGAAATCATACGGACATAAATTGTTCAAGTAAACGCTTAAGAAATTAATCTCATTATGAAAGATGAATATGTCGATAGATTTTAACACTACCTTTATTGTTTTAAATGTAAGTAAAAGTAAGGCAAAATTTATTGATGTGTTAAGTTTCCTCTATATGCCAGATTCCAACATTTTTTGGCTATTTACCTGATTTGATACTTAATGATCTCATTATGATAAAATGTATGTGACACTGGGTTAAAATTTTAGTTGATGATAATTTGTCAAAATGTCTTGCTTGCCTTCGTTGACATAAAAGACATATTTTACTTATTTTGTACTAGTAATAATAAAATCCAATAAGTGACGTTACTAAATATAAGTTAAGTAAGAATGAATAGAAATCAATTACGAGAGAAGGAAAAATATGACTGTGACATAGAGAAGATGTAAATGATAGAAATGGGTAAAAGGAGCTTTGTACTTCTTCATGGCTAGTTATGAAGGATTTTAACAAAGCTAGGCTGGCCGTTTAAGGAGGAGTATTAGGTTCAACACTGATGTTTGGAACAAAAAATTGGGTATGGCAAAAATGACATGATAACCGATTAATGTGAAATGCTTCTAAGCACTGTCACAGTGCTAAGAAGCCTGATTGGAGTAAGGATAAGCGAGAGAATTTCCAACAATGTTTTTTGAAGGGAAAGTGTGGCACGAAAAAAGATATAGTAGTATCAAAAAAGATTACTCAATGTTTAGCGACTTTGAAAAAAATTTGTGATATTAGACTTTCTAAAGAGATATGTTAGGTGAGTCATGACCATAACCAGATCTCGAACGCGTTAAAAAAATATCAGCGGCTTAACTAAGACTGTGATTGATCTATAAAATAAAGACCGCAATCATCTGTTAGGCTATCAAAATCCAATGTAAAGTAACTAAATTAGATTGATCTCTCCAATCCTAGAGCTGTCAATTCTGATTAATTAACAGTGTCCTTATCTGTGTACGAACTTAGAGTATCTAAAACTTTTTTCAAAACAAAACTATAGTTTTATTAAAATTATATAGTGTACGAAAATGTTGAGTGTGAGGGAAGCGAGAGATGTGTCAGGATTTTTGAAATGAAGGTATGTTCTCTGCGTGTTGAGAAGGAGTGATATTATATATATATTATGAATAATGGATTGTATATAGTAATAAATTGACTGTGATGTCTGTGCCTCTTGGTTAAAAATTATGCCAGTATTAAATAAAAGAAATGAAAAAGTTTTAATAAAATCTAGTGAATTGAATATGTAGTATTATCATGAATTCTAATTTCAATCAATTAGTAGTCTTGCACCATTTTTATACATAAAAATGTAATGTTTTAAGTCTATAATTAAGTAGTAATTTTATCTAGTAAAATCAGGGTTCGTTATTAAATATCAACGGATATTTAACATCATATGTATCAATTGAAATTTATAATATTGTTAGTTTGAGTATTGACTATAGTCACAGGTATAAAATTAACTAGTCCGATGTGACGCTGGAAACATTGCCCGAAATAGTAAATTTATTAGAAATTTCGTGTACTTTATTGGTAATCCTTGCACGCATACTACTTTTTAATTATTTTATAATAAACAAATAATATTAAGTAACTAAAACTCAATCTTTATTTTGCGCTTTTAATTTAAAATCGCAGCCTCTCATATGCATGAATATATCGGAAAATATCAAATATCGGATATTTCGATATTAATTATAAATATCGAATTTTTGCGAACCCTGAGTAAATGGAATACAAACTTAGTATTGTAAATCGGATTATAACAGTAAATATTTGGAAAATATTGAGTTTTTGAAATGTGCCTAAAATAAAAGAATTTCATGTTATCTGATATTTTTTTTATTTACTCATGTATCTTATAGAGTATACATTATTATGAATACATACCTAATAATAATAAATAACAATTGGATAAGAGTACACTTAACGCTTAACGAAGGTAGTCATTACGTCTGCCCCTTGACTAAAATAGATAGACTGTGGTGCACCATTTTATTTTAGAGGTAGCTTTCATATATCAATATGGAAAATTCTGGTCCCGAGTATGATCATTGGTAAATAAAATATTATGATCACACTTTATAAATTACAATTAATTTGATCTTTATTTCTGAACTGACTTCAAATCATAGGAAAATACGCGATGCTTTGTTTTCCACCATAACATAAATATGTCTTGTATTTTTTATTTGACTGAAAGTTTCCTTTTCTTTAAAACAAAATAGTTTTTTTATAAAACTAACATGGCAATAATTATAAAAACTGCTAAGGCTCTTATTAAACTTCAAATATTTCATTAGAAATCTGTTAAAATCATTTCAGAAAATTTGCACTCGAATTCACATGAAGTTTATTTAAATCTGTTAACCGTCCCTGAAGTAATTTTATTTTTTCTTCATAAACAATTTTATATAAGTGGTTTGTTTTCGGCACCGTCTTAATATAATCTATGTTAAGAATGCACTAACACAATTATAATTTGACATTACAATCCCATACAATTGAGGCAGAATACTTCAAACAAACTTGATATCTATTTACTCCCTTCCTTTATAATTTCGACAAATTAAAATTAAAAATGCTACAGTATTTAAAACAAAATAGAAAGACAATAACTTACAAACTAATAAGCTACCCCATTATTTTTTTTAACAGTAAAAATATTGTTGATAAAGTAATATTTACAAACATTTTTAAGTAATTTGTATATATTATGTAAGCATGATGAATATACGTTAAGAAACGCAGGATATATTAAATACTAGTTTAAGTATACAGATTACATTAATTAATAACAAAAATAAATTACAACTTTTAAATATATCTTAATGCTTAGGTATTATAGGTATTAAAATACCTACAAGTATTGGAAACTAATAAATATGATTATAAAAATCTTTTTACTGCATTTGAAATGCATTTCTAATTCGTTATATTTTAAATACATTATATGTATTATGTGTGTAAAATAAATATTTAAAACATTTAGAATTTCAATAGATTAATATCCAAACTACAAATATAAAGTCGACTAGTATCTTTAGTAAAAAAATCTTTTGATAAAATAAAGAGAAAGTTATTATAGTATATTATATAGTATAAGTATTGTAATTAATGATTAAGGTCTTTAAATAAAAGTTTGAGGGAACAAAAATTTAAATGTTCCGATGATCGAAGATTTGATCTTTTAAATGGCACTGATCATTGTCTCACAGAGTACTTAAATGTTTTCCTGCCATTAAATGTTTTATTTAATTAATAAAAGGATACGATATATTTATAAGCTGAGCTGCCAACACTGAATTCAGAAAAAAATTGAAGAGTCACTATAAAAAACGAAATATTAATTTAATTTAATTATTATACACGTTAAAGTTGTATGTACATTTAGTTAATCTAATAATCCAATTCTCACTAGACAATTTACAAGGTATTGTGGACTCTTTTATATTTATAATTCTCGTCAAGAAGAGTTTACCTACATTAGAAATATTTGAACTTATAGCGTTTCCAATGAAAAAATCATACTTCGCAAAATAACTGTACAGCGCCTCTATATTTCACGTTATCCTGAAAATCTAATAAGATAATCATTGACATTAAGAACACTTATGTGTCAGTTATCATTTTAACAACTTATGAATATAGGCTGAAATGTGTGTAAAGTAATGGACTCAATATAGAAATCGGAGTGAGTATATTAGAAAAGGGAAAACTGGTTTGTATTTTTACGATTAGAGCTTTTTAAAAAAGAGTTAAACAGTTAAATTCGTTATTTCAGCTTATAAATTTTAAATAGAGTTTAGAATTAGCCTAACTCAACAGAGTTAGCAGCACTGGTAGATTGATGTGTCAGCTAGAACATTTTACGTTTGTAAAATTTAATATTATTATATGAAACAGTAATGAATATTAATTCATATACATATTGGTTATATTATCAGAAAAATCTATTTCTAAAGAATCAAAATAAATAAAGTTACATTTTAAAGATCAGTAGTCATAACGTTCGTAAGAAGACGTATGCGATGAGCATTACATTCTTTGCAAAGAATGTGGTCGTCTAAGGGGTAGCAACCGCGACCTTCAGCTTCCGACGATAATAGGAGACCACAGTCTTCACAGCAATAACAACGTACGTGGAAACTGCGGTCTAAGGCCACAACCCTAACTGTTTCTTCTTCTCCATTTTCGGGCATTATCGGTAGCTCACACACGCAACAACGAGGTGCAAATTTACGATGAAAATCTTCAATGCAATGAATTTGATTCATTGCATCAACCGTGAAAGGTATTCCATCGAGACTTTTGCCGCAAACAATGCATGTGAAGCAAGAAGGATGATATGGATTACCAGTAGCTCGTAAAATTCTATCAAGAATAGGTTGGTTACACACTGAACATTTTTCTAAACTTTCATAGTAATCTTTTTCACAATATGGTTGTCCCTCAACAGCATGAAATGTTTTACCTTGTAAATTTACATTGCATTGGTAACATGCAAAGCATTTTACATGATACATGTTACCCATAGCAGTGCACCCCGAACCTTCACCAATGACTTTTTCATTGCATTTTATACATATACCAAATACATCCAAATCTTGGCTATCTGTTATGGATTGTACCAAAAGATTGGTAAGAGCATCAACCTCTTCTTCTTTATGTAAATTTTTGTTTGAATTGGGTGTATTGTTATTTAGATAATTTGGTGCTGAATTATTTGATAACAGTTTAGAATTTTTTGAGGGTGGATGTGGGTTAATTGGTTCGTAAAGCGATTCATATGTTGATGCCTGTGAAATTCCATAATCTGCATATTCATTTTGATATGTCGGAAGAAAAGAACGATCTTGATTGAAACTCAAGTTAGCAGTGGCACGTACTAATTCACTGTAGTTAGAACTGACTGGTGACGGTGGTGGTATAAAATTGTCATTTAATTGATCACTAGTGTAAGGCTTTACCTGAGATAAAATTAAGGCTGAAGGCGGTGGAGGTGGTGGAGGTGGTAAATCATCATCACTTCTGCGAAATTCAGGTATATTTCCATATGTGACATTTCTACTTACAGATATCATCGGATTCGTACATCTCTGTGAATGATTAGGATTAACATCAAAATTATTTATATTAGCATAGAATGCATTACGATTGTTTTCAGGAGGGCTGTTGTAAGACGGCGAATCGTGTTTTAGAGGTGATATCATCTTCGAATATGATGGCTCTTGTACATTAGTGATCAGCGTGCTATAAGGAACTTGAGGTTGAGCTTTCCTTTTGGGTGGTACAGCTGGAGGTACTTTTTTCATTTTTCCTGTCGTATTGGTGACAGTTGCCATTTGTAAGTCAGCTAATTGCTTTTCCAATGTGTCCATGTTATCTAGGCGTGACATTTTAAAAGTGTCTTAATTGACTCTGATAATAGATTAAATTCAAGGCCTCCAATAAATATCACAATGTGTTAAAGCTTACCGTGTCTGCTGGAAAATTTTCTTATAATAACTTACACAGATAAAATGCTTTTAAACTACTCCCATACTTAAATAGTTTCTTTGTCTTGCATTCACTGCAACAGGTTTAATACTGCAAAAGATATGTGTAGTGATGACGTACTACGGTTTATGAACTTTTTGTAAGCTATATAGAAATAAGTGAGAAACGGATTATAAAACCAATACAGAACATCAAGAGGAAAAACAACTTTTTAACTTATTTTCACAGATTGAGCAGGAAATAACTTTATTACAATAAATACGATGAATGTAGATCAGCTGCACAGATCAGCTGCTATTACAAAGATCGGAGAAATAGACAATGTAAAATAAACTTTGTTCATTCGTTCTCTTTGCTTAAAGAGAATGAATGGTTGATATTAATCGATTCTCTCCAATTCATTATTCTTTCTTTGGCGACCGAAATCCATACCTACCGATGGGTAATATACCTCAGACGAAGCATTTTAAAATGAATAATGAACAGACCTGAGAAGCAGACTTTTATTAACACATAGCACTCAAAGTGAATCGTTATCCTGTGAGTGAGCAACGAATCCATAAACTACTTAATATACTTAGAAAATACTCAAATATATACTTTTAATCTTTGATAGTACTCTTTAGATATAATCTATGGCTGGACGTGATCTTTTTTTTTTGACCCAGGGATAATACGTTACGCACCATCACTATCCTTGTGTGCGAGACTCTCCCCCACTAAAGGCGGGAGCCTATCCACTATAAAACTTGGGCATACCAACCTTTCGGGGGTAGTACTCAGGAACACGGGCGTATTCGCTAAGACCTTATAAATAAAGCATAGAAACTTTGCTAGAACCACTTATGAGTCCGGGACAGCCATCCTCGTCTGGAAGTGAGCCTATCATAGAGCATAAAAATTATTATTAGATGGCACACTTCATCTAATGAGGAAGTATTTAAAAAAAATAAAGAAACTACAAAAAATTATGTTACTAGATGGCAGCACAAATTGTTGGATCTAAACGTCAATTCATGACGTTAAACCAAAGAGAATAGATTTGTTAGTGTTGTTATGGATCTGATAACTTGGATTAATATCGAGTTGAAATTTAACTAGTTCGAGTTATGCAATCGCAACTCGATTAATACAAAGTAATCTTTGAATAAATTTATTTTTTATTTGTATAGAGGAAAATGGAAACTAACATAATGGAAGTGAGCACAGAGGCTTTTTAAATTTATGGAAATCAATTGAATGCTGTGATATAATTAAAAGTGGCATCTAACTACGGTATACAATAATATTACGTTTTATAAATAAAATAGGTACTTATGTCATAGTAGGTCTAGGAATTTTCATTTTAGTATTTAACAAAAGTTCTGAAAAAATAACAACTAGGTAAGTTAGTTTTATTGCTATTAGTTGTTTGTTGAACTTACAACAACAAAACTACATCAATTCTCAATATTTTTTTTATATTATGTATGGTGAATGAATGAATAGGGTTTATTAATCAGCAACAAAAGTCATAAAAACAATAATTTTTAAGAAAAATCCGTTTATTATCTATAAACTTACCCGATATGTATCAAATATACTATATATTCGTACAAAATAACATAACTGCTGGCTAAAATGACGTTTGTGCAAAGTGTAACGTGCAAATAACTTGTGCTTTCGAAATTAAGACTTTATAAAACTATTATCAGTTATTAAATCTTATATTCATAATTAAATCATCTTAATAAACATTCAGCAATTAACAAGAAACGTCTGCTCTAAACGAACAGCAAGGTTGTAACTTTAAATTTCAAATGTCAAAGACACGTACAGTTATTATAATGCTTCTGATCTTGCATGTCGACGGCGGACGTCGAGCCATGTGTTAAGTTAATTCGTACGGCGGGTTTGTTCTTTTTGGTTCTTACAATAATATTGTTAATAATAATTTGAATTCCTACACAACCTACTCTAGAAATCCGTTTTATTGAAATATATTATTTACTAAGTACCTAGACTTGTTATGGTCTCTTAAAATCTCTGCGGTGGTATCGTGTGCGTTAGGTGGTTACGATCCCTCAAATATAGTATAGTTGAGTTTTTTAGTTGAAATTAAAAAAGCAGCCCTTGCTGAGTTTCTTGCCGTTTCTTGTCAGTAAGAGATCTCCCGCCTTAGTTTTGCGAACCATTGGTAAAGTTTTCGACTTTCACAAGTACTATGTAACAGTCTAGATTGAATTGATTTTGATATTTATATTAATATCATTCGTTTTGTGGATGCATAATGACACTTCATCTTCAATTGCATCGATAGTTGCGCTCAGAGTGTCGAAGAATAAAATGGTTTTAACAAATAATAAATATATTTTGGTTGTAAAATATATATATTAATGAATGACTTATGAACGACAGTGAAAAAAGACAAAATAATAGAACAAGCAAAAACAGTAGTTGACAGTATCATTAAAGAATAAAATTATTGTCAAGAAAAAGGTTGTCTTCAAAACCTCTTTTCTCTAACATTCCTCCTTAATTTTATTCCTTTACTGACATTCCATTCCCTTCAATCACACACTTCACACTACAATAACCATCATCTGCGTATACCATTTATACTTTCGTTTCAATAAAGGCTTTGTCAGGGAGTCTGCAACCATATGATCTGTCTCTATATACTCTAACACGATATGACCATTGTTATTGTTATTGTTTCGAGTTGCGGATTATCTTGGGTTTATGCAGCCCAGTATCACTGCGACCATTGCTGATCTATTGTGATCTCCACATACTACAGTTCACGGTCAAGATTACATTCTACAAGGAACTGTAGTATTTTCTTGGCCGTAAGTTCTTTAATATCGTCTGGGTGCATCACGTGCTTTCCCAGATAGATACATCGTTTTCGCATTAGTGACGGGCAATCGGTCAAAATGTGCAAAGGTGTTTCCTCCTCCTCCTTGCATCCTCTGCACATTCTACTGCCGCTGATCCCCATATTGTACATGTGTCTGTTCAGTCCACAATGTCCCGTGAGTGCTCGTACTAGTGTGCGAAGGTGATTTTTGGTTAAGTTTAAGGCCTCTGATGCCGCCTTTTTGTTGAAGGTTTTAATCAGGGTCTTAGAGTGTTTCATACCGGGAGTGTTTCTCCATAGTTGAATAGCTGCGTAATGGCAGTATGTTTTCAAGGTGAGCTGGGTTAGGCTTTGAGGGATGCCACAGAAAGGTTCTGGTCCGATAAGGGCGTCTTTAGCACCCTTCTTCGCCAGTTTGTCCGCCTGTTCATTGCCCTCGTGTCCAGCGTGACCTGGAACCCATCGTAGAACTACTTTGTTTTTGTTGCCCAAAGAGTTCAATGTTTGTTTGCAGTTCTCGACCAGCTTCGATCTAGTTACGTCGGAGGCTAGTGATAAGAGTGCAGCTTGACTATCAGAGTGGATGTAGATAGTATGATTGAGGTAGTTGTTTTGCAGATTGGCTGCCGCACATTCCAAAATGGCGTACACCTCCGCCTGGAATATTGAGGAGTACTTTCCCATGTTCAGACTTATAGCCTTCCTTGGGGATTCTCCATAAATTCCACATCCTACCTCAGGACCGGATTTGGAGCCGTCAGTGTACCACTTTAGGCTTCCATTTTTCCATACTATACGATTGTTTGACCAGTCGTCCCTGGTGGGTATCTCCACAAGATATGACTTGTGTGAATCGACTCTCGGGGGCATGGTGTCAGTAGGCATCCCCAGAATTGGTATGTTGCATATTGAGTCCTTCAGGTACCTCAAATTACCTGACAGCCATGTCTTCGCCTCCATGCTGGTAATCCTGTACATACTAGCCCTCGCCACCATTTCAATATGTAGATGTAGGGGCGGTAGGTTTAGCAGAGCCTCAAGGGCAGCAGTCGGGGTGGAAGACATAGCTCCTGTTACTATAAGACAAGCAGTCCTTTGCAGACTGTTAAGTCTTGATATGATAGTACTCTGTGTCGTTTTTCTACTCCAAACCACCGAGGCGTAAGACACCATCGGCCTTATGATGGCTGTGTAGAGCCAGAGGGCTATATTGGGTTTCAAGCCCCATCTATTTCCCGCTAGCCGACAACATATCATCAGAGCTGTTTTAGACTTCTGTATAATTCCGTCTATATGTGCGTTCCAGGTAAGTTTCTGGTCCAGTGTTACCCCCAGATACTTGACCTCTGTCGAGAACGGAATGAGCCTCCCATTCATGGTCGGAGGCGAAAGCTTATCCAGTTTTCGTTTCCTTGTGAATGGGACGACCACGGTTTTGCCTGCATTAATCGACAGATTATTGTCTTTACACCATGAGTTAATTGTGTTCAGCGCCCTCTGCATAAGGTACGATAGCATACTTTGGCAGTTTCCTCTCACTATCACCACCAGGTCATCGGCATAGCCCAGGGTGTCAAAGCGGAGTTCAGCCATCTTATGGAGAAGCTGGTCCACCGCAAGAGTCCACAGTAGCGGAGAAAGTACTCCACCTTGCGGACATCCTCTTGTTGTTGCTAACTCTAGTGAATCGTTGAGTAGTTCCATCCTCACTGTCCTACTCTCTAGCATGGCTCTTATCCATCTTACTGTAGTGGAGTCAATCTCTTTATGGACTAATCCTCTTACTAATGTCTCGGTGGGCGTGTTATCGAACGCTCCTTCCACATCAAGAAAAGCAACGAGTGCTATTTCTTTATCGTCCAGTGCCTTTTCAACCTTGTCTATAAGGTTTAGTAGGGCAGTCTCCGTAGATCTGCCGCTTCGGTAGGCGTGCTGGGTATCATGTATGGGTTTATTGATGAGACTCCCTTGTCTGATATAATTGTCTAATACCTTCTCCATGGTCTTCAGAAGAAATGACGTAAGGCTGATTGGCCTGAAGGACTTTGGTGATGTATAGTCCTTCTTTCCAGCTTTAGGTATGAACACGACTTTCACCTTAGTCCACGGATCTGGAATATATCCCCAGGCCAAACTGGCTCTGAAGATTTTTACCAGATAAGGGATGAGATTGGCGGCACCCCGCTGTAAAAGCACCGGGGCTACGCCGTCAATTCCACCAGATTTAAAAGGTTTGAACGAGTTAATGGCCCATTTCACTATTCCAGGCCTAATAACGAGAGCGGCTCTTCTCCAGTCCTCTGGTAGAGGCCTTCGAAGAGTGATCGCTACTGCATTATCAGTAGATCCTGGAAAATGGGTGATAGCCATTAGCTGCAAGGTTTCCTTCTCGTTAGTCGTGAAGGACCCGTTCGGTCTTTTAAGGAGACCTAAGGGATTACAGTGTGCCTTTGCCATGATCTTATGAAGTCTTGCTCCTTGAGGCGTATTAGTTATCTCCTCGCAGAACTTC